ATGTACATATTATCGCTACCATGTTTCCTTTTGTGTTGTTGCTGTACATGTTTATATGCTCTGAGTCAGCTTTGCGCGCCGGTATGTCCAACGGTGGATTGTCCAACTGTCCCTCTTGAGTGGAGTTTTACCTGGCCTCTGGCATCGTCACGACAGAATGCTCAGTCATCCATTCAATTTGTTACGGGGTCGTGGAGGGAAAAGTGTTTTGCATAATTGCCGAGCACATGGCGTTGCACGTGGTTCAGCCAGTTCTCGTGCCGTCAGAGCGAGCACCTCGAAGTGAGCGGCATTCGCATCGCATTACTTTCTCTGTCGCAGGCGTGAAACTTGCAAACGCGCTTGGGTTTCTGAAAGGGACAAAGATGGGTTGGTTAACGCGTTCATTTCAGTGTCGCAGTGGCTCTGTGGAAGCATGGCGGCGCAAGCGCGGAGCGATACCATGAGTTCCAGATGGGTCGCGGGCGACCAGCGCGACAAGCGTAGCAAGCAGCGATTGACATCACACGGGGCCCACGTTAAACAAGTCGCGAACCATGGCCGTTTAGTGCGACCGCGGCAATTAGAACCCGTCGCATTCGCTGTTAATTTCTGGCCGATGTATAATGAGCGCGCGATCCGGCGAGACATGTCATTCCCGGCGCGTCGACCGCGCAAGGAACGTCGACCACGCCAGCAATTTCCAATTGCAAGCTCGCAGAAGTATTACAATACCATTATTGCCAAATCCCTTGCGACCTGGTCGGCGGGCGGCCCTGATTGCCATGGGCATTGTGCGACGCCCGCGTCGTGAACCATTCGATTGACCGGATTGCCCACGACGGCGAAACAACGCTTTTGGTGGAAGGATTCAACTGTGAGTTGAGTGAGTCTGGTCGTGAATTTCACGCGCGTCACGGGGGCGTGGTCGACCGGCCATTGGCGTGAGTTCGCATTCCGGATCAATCGGGGCACGCATTGCGCGGAATGCCCCCTGCGAGACCAAGTTTTGGATGACCGTAACCTGCCAGTTGCTTGCCGAGAAGCTCTCCAGATAATTGCTTCTGCGCCAGTGGTTCGACGCGCGCAGTAGGCTGGAGTCGACGCCCATTCTACATCAAGACAGCGATTTCCACAGAGGTAACGCAGCGACGCGGGTCGTCTGGCGAAAACTGCGGGAACGGGAACATACCCTTTTAAGAACAATCGACATTCCTGGCCCCGCTGCCCGGCGGCGGCAGCGCGCGCGCGAGCTGGCCGAGCGTTGGGCCGGGATGCCCGGCCGCAGTGCTGGAGAGGAGGGCAATCGGGTTCTTCGCATTGACACGAGAGATCGCGCTTTCAAGCGCCAATCCCACACACTGGACGACGGCGATCCTGCAGGCGCCGACGCGCATGCATAAGTAGACGACACCAGCGCAGACAGTGCTGAGTCAGCGAGCGCAGCCTGCAGCGACGACGGCCCTTCTACCGAGGCGCCCAGCAGCCGCTCCGCGGAGGGTTCGACGGCGCCCAGCCACGCGCGCCCTTCCCCCCGGCTGCGCCAGTGGAGGCCCAATTTCGAACAAAGCGCTTGCGCCGCGCAGAATGGCGCCCTGTCAGCGCGCAGCTGCCACAGAGAAAGCAGCGTCGCAGCAGTTCGTCGCGGGGGCCTCTGCGCCGCCGCGCCGCGAGCGAGGGGCTCGCGCAGGAGGAGGGGGTGTCCTGCGCAAGAACAGCGAGGGCGATATGATAGATTATGCTGGGGCTCGGTTGCGAAGCTTCGTTCCGCGCGACAGATGTCAGCGTTCGCTGGGCCGCGACCCGGGCCGAATAGAAGCTGCGCCCGGGGCGATTCGCAGTCCCGCGACGCGCGGGCGAGCGAGCGACTGCCGCGCGCCCAAGAGCATTGTTCGTTGGCGGTCGTTGTCTCGGATAAGCGGGAGCTCGCGGAGGGCGTCGGCCCGAGGGTCGCCGAGAACACTGAGGAGCGCCTTGCGGCGCATCAATGCACATGGCTTGTCATCCCCGCGCAACTTCCAGCGAATCATCTCTGCCCTCGCTCGAATTACGCTCGCATTTCGGGCCCGGATCTCGACGGCCACGCAACGGCGAGCACTCCGGTCTCGCTGGGGTCGACTGCGCAGCCCAGACCGATATTGCTTTGATTCCATGCGCAGCGGCGATCGAGTCGACGTCTCCGAGACAGGTCCAAACGCGCGACCAACCATTGCATCGCTGATGCTTGCTTGCGTTCTGCTGCCGCTTGCGCGGATCTCGGATTTGGGTTCAGATCGCTGTTGCGGGCGATGCCGCGCTTAGACGCGGGCAGCTCCACTTTCGGATTGCCGACTTGGACGACCATGCGTCGCCGCGCGCTCGCAGTGTCTCCCGGGGCGGTCATTTGACCAGATTGCCGATTTGGTCGCCCCCGCGCCCAGATTGCCGATCTCAGCGGTTCTGAGGTCAGATTCGGCGGCCCCTCGACTAGATCCCCGACGCGAGCGCCCCCGCGCTCGGACTGCCGATTCAGGTGGCCCCGCGCTGTCATTGCCGATCTCGGCGGCTTCGCGCTCAGATTGCTAAGTCGGACATCGGCGGGCGCGTGCTCTGACTGCAGAGTTGGGGGGCCCCGCGCTGCCCGAGCGGGCGGCCCCGCGCTCGGATTCTCGGCCAGGGCGGCCCCGCGCTGAGATTGCTGATTTGGGCGGTTCCGCGCTGGGCTCGCCGATTTCGGGCGGCCCACTTCCCGCGTTGCCGACTCGGGCGCCCCCGCGCGCAGATTGAGGATTTGGGCCGCTCCTTTTTCAGATTGCAGGATTGGGGCTGTCCTGCCCAGAATGCCGATTTGGCAGTTCCGCGTTCAGATTGTCAATGTGGGTGGCCCCCTGCTCTGACTGCCGACGCGGGCGGCGCTTTGCCCGGATTGCCGAGCCGGCAGTCTCGCTTGGTCTGCCGACCCAGGCGGCCCATGGTCTGATTGCCGGTTTGGGCGGCCCCGCGCTCAGATTGCCGATTCGAACGGCCCCGCGCTAAGTTTTCGGTTTCGGGCGCCCAGATGGCCGATTTGGGCGATTCGCGCAGGGGCGTGTTCATTATGTCGATCGGGGTCGCCCGCTTGCGCGCCTGCATTCGCGAGGGGGCGCGACAATCCGTTTCAGCGACACGCGCGAAATGCGCTCAGAGCGACGCGATGGGCGCTGCTTGTCTTCTAACGATCGGATATCGAAATTCACAATTGCAGAGTGGCAGTCGTTTCAAAAGCTGAGCTTTTGATATCGATGTCCAGGGTATTATTTTAAATCGGGCCCTCTTTTTAATATTCGTAGTGTTTTGGAAGGCGTCGGTGACATCGGGCGGCCTCGTTTAGGCGGGCGCTCGGCGCCGCGGCTTCGACGGCGCGAACCCGCCGTGGGGAACAACGTTTTGCGGCCTCGGGGAGACGCGCATGGCGTCACACATATATATATATATATATATATATGTGTGTATGTATATATATATATGTATATATATATATGTATTATCCAGGATCGATCTGGGGGGCGGCGAGCGCAGCGCGAGTTGCGCAGGGGTCGGGAGCGCCAAGGCGCAACACTTCACAAGAAGTTGCGGCCGCCGGGGCGAATGGCGCTGCAACTTACCAGGGGCCGGGGCCTCGGGAGCGCAGGTCTGGCGCAGCGTGCGCGAAGTTGTCGCTTGGAGAGCGCGAGCCTGGCATACATTTCGAGGGGGGGGTCTCGGGAGCGCGAATGCGTTGCAATTGGCAGCAAATGGTGGCCTCGCGCGCTCGAGCCCGTCGCATATTATCATTAATATTCGCATTAGTATTACTCTTATTCTATATATGTGTATGTCTATAAGTAAATGCATACGTACATCATTTCGTATAGACAAACACATTTATATATATATATATATGATCAGTTGTTTGTCGCGCGTGCCCAACCTTTGCATGGTGACTGTATTGGATGCGCCTTCACACCACTCTCTGCACTCTTATTGTCCTGAACATGTCCTCGACAATTTATGCGCATACCATGTTTATATTTGTACTCACACATAGATATGTATATGGCGTCCGTGTTTTTGTGTGTATCTATGTAGGGTTGTTTCTTTTTGTTGTTATTATAAGTATGTGTATAAAATCCCATATCTTCCTCTCTCCCGTGCTATTCATGAATCTGTTCTTTATACATTATATATGTATATGCATTTGTGCACTTATATGTGAATGTATGTATGTACGTACGCATGTACTGCAATGCCTGTCGCATGTGGTTCCCATGTCCAACTTTGCCCGATGCCCTCCGAGATGTTTCCTCTAAGTGCGTATTGTAAGTTGTTTTTCGCCTGACGTCCCCATCAACATCTTAATCGTATGTTCACAGTGGTCGCAAATACTCTTTGTGTCCCTTCTCCAATCCCTCTGGTCAACTCTGCTCACCATTCCGACCGTTGTACCACTTACAATCAAAAATCGACGCGCGGCCACAACCAAAACAGCGAGAACCTTAGAACCACACATTGTCTGGAATCCAGCGGCGGGGACAGGGAAGCTGGAACCCCACCAAATCTCCTTTTGCCGCTGGGGACCCCAGAATCTGGAACCGGAAGCTCGGGAACTCAGCCGCGCACCAAACCGGGAACCCAGGGATTCAGCAAACCTTAACCATTGCTGGAAGCCCCCGAACTGGGAACCCGGAGCCCCAGCCGACCGCACATTGCTGGGAACACCAAAACCAGGAACCCGGAACCCGGGCACCCAGCCGCCAACCGAAATGGGCCCGGAACCAGGGCACCCGGGAACCCAGCCGTTTGCCGAAATCGGCACGGGATCTTCTTGCCAACTTTTTCAATATCCGGAAGGACTTTTTCAGTGCAAGCACCGAACATACCTCAATAGCAGATGCCACCAGCATATTCCAGAAACAGACATCAAGAACCGATATCCACAGCATACTTCTTCTGTGGGAGGGGTCGGACCCCTTGGGCCAGCCATGTTATGAGCTTCGCGACGTTGGGTGTTTGGGTCCCCACCCATGCGGGCGCAGGAGCTGCGGAGGCACCCGTTCTTGGATGGGCACAAGGAGGGCTGGGGTCTGACAACGGACGGGTGCGACCTGCTGGCCACGACAGGCGACTCGTTCATCTACCGTTTCCGCAAGAACTCTGAAGGCATTCTCTACCTTGTCAACAAGGTCTGTGGTCGGCGCAGCCAGCAGAGACCCCTTGCAGATCAGAGACCCCTTGCAGATCAAGCAAGTACCATCCAGACATCAGCAGACGCTTGTTGTCGCGCATCGGGCTTCCGAGGGGTCTTCGGAGCTTTTGCAGATCCATCTCTCTCGATTCCCCCTGGCCCCACTCCCCAGAAGGAGGAAACCAATATGAGGAGGAAGGAGAAGAAGGAGGAGGAGGAGGAAGGAGGAGGAGGAGGAGGAGGGAGGAGGAGGAGGAGAAGGAGGAGGGGAAGGAAGAGGAGGAGGAGCAGGAGGAGGAGGAGAAGGAGGAGGAGGAGGAGGAGGGGGAGGGGGAGGAGGAGGAGGAGGAGGAGGAGGAGGATGAGGAGGAGGAGGAGGAGGAGGAGGAGGGAGAAGGGGGAAGGCAGGAGGTGGAATCATAGATCCGCGCGATTTCTGAGTCTGCTCGGCTGTTCCGGGAGTCCTCTTTGGCCCTCGGTCGGAGGAGGTCCAGGAGAGGCATCGGCGGCGCGGCCCTCCCGGACAAGGGGAAGGAATGAGGAGAGAGAGTCGAGGGAGGAGATAACATCAACCTCCTCATTTCTCCTCCCGCTCCCCGTCCTCCTCATCCCCCTCCTTCCCCTCCTCCCCGCGCCCTCCTCATCCTCATCCTTATCATCCCCCTCCTCTTCCTCCTCCTGCCTTTCCTCCGCCTCCTCAGAATTGAACAGTACTGCCCTGCTCGGTTCCTCCTTTGCGTGCGTCTTCCGAAAGGCGTCGCCTGCGAGGAAGTTTAGCATGATGGTGGCTCCTCTGCCCTCTCAGACGGAGGAGGAGTGGGGTTGGCCAGGGTGGTCCAGAGGTGACCATGGCAGAAGCAAGGGTCCAAAGAAGGAGCCATCGTCACGAGCAGAGCCTGTCCTGCGTCCGCGTGGACATCTCGGGTCGACGTTGTGGACCCCCCTGGCCGCGTGCCGAGGTTGGGGGGGGGAGCGCAGCTCCAAGAAATCTGGGGGGGGGGGCTTCTGCAAGTTGATGCTCCTGCAGCTTTATCCGTGATGCAGTTAAGTCGGGCCTGTCCCTCTACAGAAGGATGCTTCCATTTTTTCTTGCCATTTTGAGCATTGACGATTTGTTGACCATTTTTGAGTATTGTTACACCATGTTTGACTATTTTTTATGTTTCGCCCAAAACCAGCCTTTCCGGGGGACATGCCCGACCTGATGCTAAAGCTGCTATTCGTCTCGGCTTGGCCTCCGCTTTCCCAGGGAGGCCCAGTCGCCCCCCAGCAGCCACCTCAAGGAGGCGCGGGGGGGGCCCGTGGCTCCATCCGTGTTCGCGCGACAGGCTGGGGGCACCCTTGGCCGGGAGGGGGGATGCGGCACCTCCCGACACGGGAGGGGGGATGCGGAGGCCCTCTCCTTACGATTTCTTCAGGAGTCGCTCTCTCGGCGCTCTGGAGTCGCGCTCTCGCTGGAGACTTGCTTGCAATTTCCTAACGAATGGCGCCCTTGTGTTGGAATCGCCTGCAATTTACTCCAGCGCCGCGCCCCCGACACCCAGGCGCCCAGCGTCCCTCCGACCTGGGGCCTCTTGGCCAGCGTTCCTCCGACCTGGGGCCTCTTGGCGACCTGCCGCCGACTACGGCGCAAGGTGAGCGTGAGGCTGGCGGGAGTGGCGGTGAGAATGCTGAACGAGCTGGAGTGCCGAGAGACGGGGGGGGAAGGACGAGGAGGAAGAGGAGGAGGCCAGAGCGTCACGCGGACGCGTGGAACTCACGGTCGTTCGAACCAGCTGCAGCACCTTGCGGACCCTGCCCCTTCGTGTCCACTTTGCGTTGGGGTGTCGGACACCCCCGTTGGGGTCCATTTGGCTGCAGGCATCCTCGGAATCCCGAGCCCCAGCAGGCGCTCCGGAAGGACAGGCTTCCGCAGAGATGGTCGTCCACTCGACGCCACGGCTGGGCTTAAGTCGGGCCTGTCCCTCTACAGGGCGAATATTCAAAAATAGTCCAAAAATAGTCTGGGGACGAGTTGTTGACCATTTTTGAATATTTGTTTGGCATTTTTGGGGGGAATGTTTTTAATTCTCGCCCAAAATCCCCCCTTTGGGGGACAGACCCGACTTCAACCTAAGCGGTGGTTTTGGTGATTTCGTGGGCCGTTTGCGTTTCGGCTTCGTTTTGCGGTACAGGCGGAGTCGAGACAGCAGCGAGGGGAAACGAGAGCAGAACGAAAACGAAAACGAAAGACACCGCTTAGGTTCAGCCCTGCCCAGAGGTCGACACCAACACCAATATCGGCGGTGTGCCTCCACCGAGGAATTTGATCCCGATCTCGGTGATGGTGGTAAGATTCGCGCTTCCCAGATGGCCGAAGTAGTACCTCCAACGCCAGAATCTAGTGCTATCTTCCCCCAGTGGAGCAACCCTCTGTACTGGTGTTGGTGTCAATTCCCAAGCGTCTAAGCCTGGCCTCAACCCAGACATGCTCGCGTCGTGGAACAATCATGAAGAATACTGGTTTTCACCGTGCCCTCGCTCGGTCCCAGCACCGTAAAATCTCGACGCGGGATGAACCACCGGCCGCGGGGGAAGATGAGGACTTCTGCCAGGGGTCCGTAGAGGGGCCGTGAGATCTTGGCGTCTCGATGTTTTCGAGCCCGGGCGTTTTCGCTTTTTCTCGGACCCCGGGTCCCTCACATGTCGATCCCGTCGGGAGCCTTGAGACGGGGGTCAATGCAAACGGGGGTCAGCCAGAGCGCCCGATCTTGCAGGATCCTGCAGGGCCAGGGTCGCATTGACCCGGGTTTGGGTGCAGGATCCTGCAGGATCTTGCAGGGTCTTTCGCATTGACCCGGGTTTGGGTGCAGGGTCTTGCAGGATCTTGCAAGATTCTGCAAGGCCGGGTTTGGATTGACCTGGGTCAGAAGATCCCCGATCCGGCTCGAAAAATGACGCGGAAAGATGGGGTCCAGGGTTACGGGCGCGATTTTTTCATGCCATCCCAATTTTTTGAGACGTCGGATCTCAGGGGAGGGCTGGCCCGAAGAGGTGGGGCCGGGGGATGAGCCCAGCGAGAATGCTCCCGTTTCGGCGCGCTTCCTTCCTCCTCCTCCTCCCCCTCCCCCCTCCCCCTCCTCCTCCCTCTCCTCCTCCTCCTCCTCCTCCTCCACATCCTCCTCCTCCTTCACATCCTCCTCCGACATCACCTCCTCCTCCTCGTTCTCCTTTTTCTCCTCGTTCTCGTCCACCTGCCTCTGGGGGCCGTCCGGAGCCAGTTTCCCTCCAAGCCCACCTTTGGCCCCCGCCCCGCCTCTTTGTGCCCTCCCAGTTCTGAGGACCGCGCATGGAAGAAGTCAGTACCCGAACCCCCGATGTGATGATTGTTTCACATCCCAAGTCCCTAGTCGTTCTTTGACGCTCCCGAGGCCCGGTGAGGGCCCCTGGCGGCCGAAACTCAGGAACAACTTGCCGTCATGATTTTTCATTGCAGTCGGGGCGCTGAAGAAGGAACTCTTTTCGTTGGGTAGGGGCTCCGTGTTCCTTATTTGTTTCACTGTTTGCCCCACGTTTTCCTTAGCTTTTCGAAGAAGTTCAACTTCTGGAGAAAAGGGGCGCCGTTCCTTATTTAGGGTTCCTTGGGTCAGCGCCCCGACTGTACTCGAGGGGGTCTGGGGACCGCGCATGGAAAGAGGTCAGGGCGTCGCGCGTCTGTGGAGCAGTCTGGGACGGCCTCAGCACCTCAACCTTGGGTGCGCGGAGTGCCTCCGGGGGGGGGGGGGGGCGCCAGAGTCGGGCCTGTCCCTCTACAGAGGGAATATTCAAAAATAGTCCAGAAATAGTCTGGGGACTATTTGTTGACTAGTTTTCAGCATGTTTGGGGCATTTCTGGTGTATTTTTAATTTTTCGCCCAAAACCCCCTTGTAGGGGGACATGCCCGACCTAACCTCAGAGTGTCGACGCCGCCTGGACTGGTCGGGGGGCCTGTGGAGGCCAGGCAGGACTGTCTCGGGGGGCCAGGCCTGTTCGCAGCCCGAAGCCTCCCCTCGGAGCTCCGAGCAGTGGCGAAGCGTCCTGGCGTGCCTGTAGGCCAACCAAACAGTGTTCTAATAGCCTTTTTTGTGGTTTCCTCGAGTTGTTCTTAGAACATTTCTGGCTGGGACTGTCTTGTTTTAACACGTCGTGTTTATGTTATGATAATATTGCTCTTGTTCTTAGAACATTCGTGGGTTCTAAGAGCGTTTCGTGGTAGGCCTATAAGAGTGCCGGGACGGTCGGTCCCTGCTCAAGATCTGACGTTGCCCAAAAATGATAAGCATCGTGGAAAAGCCCGCCAGGAGCCCCAGACCCCATCTTTCTGCAGCGTTTTTAGGGCCATATCGAATTGGCAGGGCTCCAGGGCCCGAAATCAGGTGGAAACGTCTGCTGTGCTCGGACTGCAGCGCCAGGATCTTAGGGTCACCACTCCGAGGTACGTCACGCCCAAGATCTGGGTCCACAAGTGGATCACCAACCAGGTGTACAGGGTCGACCCTGCGTCTGGTGAGGTGGAGGCTTACATGGACATCGGCAGAGTGTATCGCGGGCCGGACGAGGGAGGATGCATACAGCTGGATGGCTCCAAAGGATGATTTTGGGACGGGGGTTTTCCAGAGAGCCCCCCAGGGGCATCTGAACCTCGTCAAAATAGGGGGTGCGAAGCCCCTGGGGGTCCCCACCTGGAAAACCCCCGCCCCCCCCAACAAAAACCCTTCGGAACCCTCCTGGCCAGGGTTTGGGCGGGTCCAGGACCAGGATTGATTGCGCGCCGTGGAAACACAACAGGGAAGGAAGGTGTTCGTCCTCGTCGGTCCCTGGGGGCATCGTCGGGCCCTGGAAGCGTCAAACAGCGACTCGGGATGCTCACTCGGCGCGGAGATCCCCAGACGTGTATCCATGTGTCAAACCTTTCCCGCTGTGAGCGTCTGTGGGCGAGAGAGTGAGAACAGATGAGTCTGAGTCTGAGTCTGAATGTGAGTGAGTCTGAGTGTGACTGAGTCTATGCGCATGAGTGTGAGTGATTGTGAGTACGTAGTCTGAGTGAGGGTGTGAGCGTGAGAAGTCTGAGTGCATTTAAGTGTGAGTGGTCTGAGTGTGAGTGTGAGTGTGAGAGGCATGAGAGAGTATCTGAGTGTGCGTGTGGGTGCGAGAGATCTGAATTGTCTGAGTGTGAGTGTACGTCGTCCTCGTCGTCCTAGTCGTCGTCGTCGTCGTCGTCGTCGTCGTCGTCGTCGTCGTCGTCGTAGTCCTCGCCTTCGCCATGACAGGGTATCGAAACAGACAAACTGCCTGAGACATCGCCACAATCGGGGTCCCTTGGGGTGCTGGAACCAGCCCCGCTTGAGACATCTTGACACTCTGCTCTGAACGCAGACGAGACTGGGGTCCGAAGCCGGCAGACCGCCCGAGACACGATCTACCCCCTGGCGACTCCCCCTATGGGGCGCTTCAGAGTGTGAATTACCTACCCCGCTTTCGCTTCCAGGCCAAACCAAGTCATACCACGATCCTCCTCGTGAAGCGGCCTCACTTGTGCGGGCCGTAGTTTGGTATCGTTTGGTATCTTTTGGAAGCGAGGGTGGTCAAAGGCGAGGTAGGTTCGTTTGCCTCCACACGCTGGAGCCCCAGCACCCCGCCCGAGACATCCCGACGCTCCGCTCTCAACGCAGGCGTGTCCGGGGTCCGACACCAGCAGACCGCCCGAGGCATCCCCGCCATCTGGGCGCGAGAACGGGCCCGTGGTGTTGCGCCCCCTGGCGCCCCCCCCCGTGCGGGCGCCGGAGCCAGCGCCCCGCCAGAGACGTCCTCTCCATCTGTTCCGACGGCACGTCACGTGGTGGGCACCAGACCAGGCGAGCCGCTTGATACAGTCGACCCGCAGAGTAAGGATAGGCATCCCTCCCAAGGGTACCCTTGCATCCTTGCTTCCTGGGTCCATCCTTGGACGCTTTCGTTGGCCGCATGCCGCTCGAAACGCTTCGAAATGGAGGTCCGAGGAAGGGCCTTGCATCCTTATCGCGCATCCTTGCTCTGCCGGTTGACTGCACGTCCCCACAATCTGGGCGCGGATCCTGGAGTGTCCCCGCCCTGGCGGCTCCCCCTCGAGGGTGCTGGAACCATCGCTTCGCGTGAGACAGCCTCACGAACTGCTCCGAAAGCAGAGAGCATTGTGCGTACACACAGGCAGACCGCCTGAGACATCCCCGCAATCTGGGCGTGACGCCCCTGGCGGCTCCCCTTTGGGGTGCAAATGCCACGCATGCTGCATCGCTGTGGGCAATGGCCCAGGTGAGTCTGAGTATGAGTTAGTCTGACTGCGAGTGAGTCCGAGTGAGTCTGACTGTGAGTGAGTTTGAGCAACGTCTGCCCCGGATAAAAAAGTACCCCCCCTTCTTAACCCCCTGAATCTTTATTATCCCCGTGTCAATATGATTTGATTGTGGAGAGGGGCGGTGAGGCGGAACTTGATAATCCCCAGGGGAAATTGCGAATCGAAGTTGCTATCATCTTATGACTAGTAACAGAATCAAAAACGTTGAGCATGGCAATGGTGGTCTCATCAGGGTCTGAGTGGCTGACAAAGAAGACAAGGATCTCCCCTTGTCTTCTTCCTCCTCTCCCTTCTTCTTCTTCTCCCCTTGCCGCCCCCCCAGGCCCCGATGTTGTTTATCCCGTTTTTTTGTTTGTATCCCCGGAAGGTGCCCACCATGGGCACCCCCATATTCGAGATTGAAGACGACTCAAAAGGATCAGTTTTTACAAATAAAATACATAAGGTTCCGAATCCAATAATTTCATGAAAAGCAATCCTGGGGCCTTCCTCCGCTCTCTTCCTTCTCCCACCTTGTCGAGTCAGTCGCGTGCCAAGATCTACAAGGTCAGTGCACACGAGCGCCCAGGATCATCATCATCATCATCATCATCAGCATCATCATCATCATCATCATCACCATCACCATCACCATCACCATCATCATCATCATCATCATCATCATCATCATCATCATCATCATCATCATCATCATCATCATCATCATCATCATCATCATCCGCCGATGGGGAAACCATTGATTCTCCCCGCCGGACCCCGAGTTTTACTATCCCCTTGGGATAATTGTCGGGGGCGCAGGATGAGTGAGTCTGAATACGAGTGAGTCTGAGTACGAGTGAGTCTTAAGTGTGAGCACGTCTGAGTCTGGGTGAGCCCGAGTATGAGTGCGCGTGCGAGTGCATATGAGGAGGGCGAGGAGGCAGCGAGGTGCCAGGGAGGAGGCCCAGAGGCGTCTGAGCATCCACCAGACTCCCCTCTCGGGGCAGGGGGGCACCGGCCCGGTCCCGGGGCAGGGGCCGGGCCTTCCGGGGACCCCGCGCTGAACAAGCCAGGACACCGCATGCTGCCCGCGGAGCGCTCCGGAGCGGCCGCGGGGCTCGATTCGTCTTTCGGGGGTGGACAGACCTCCGTGGACAGACCTGACACGTCGATTAGTGAAGGGGCCGTTTTCTCAGGTCTTGCGCCCACCAGGAAACAAAACCGAAGCACCGACAACATATTTTTGCATATTTCTGCGGACCGAAAACTTTTCGGTTCGCGAGAGGCGTCGCGGCCGTCATTGTTGCAGGTCCAAGTCCGTGGGTTTCGGTCCCAGGCCGTTTTCGCTAAGGGCAGGGTTACTGAAGGGAGGTCTGTCCACCGCCGAGTCTCCCGCCACCGCCAGATCTCAGAGGCCCCTGCTGGATCCGGTCCGCTGCTGTCCAGGGCCCGGCGTCGTCTCCCCAGGAGGAAGAGAACGCCATGAGCACAAACATTTGGGCGCTCCGCGCGGCTCCTTGGATCCAGGCGGAGCGCCAGGAGTTTATGCTTATGGCGTTTTTTCGTCTCCCCAAGAGGAAAAGAACGCCATGAACACAAGCAGTTGGGCGCTCCGCGCGGTTCCTTGGATCCGCCCTGGGCCCCCCCGAGAATCCTAGGGGTACCTTGGGCCAGGGGTACTTCTAGGAACACCCGAAGAAGAAGAACAAAAGCACAGACACATAAGCTTTTGGCGCTCCGCGCGGATTCCTTGGATCCACGCCTGGGCCCCCCCGGCGGCGCCTCCGGCGCCGCCCCTGGCGCGCTCCGCGCGCCAGGGAGGGGGGCCCAGCGCGGATCCAAGGAACCCGTGCGGAGCGCCAAGAGTTGATGCTTCTGGCGTTTTTTCTTCTTCTAGTTTCGAGGGTGGTCCGCGAATCAGCGCATACACAGCTGGCTTTCCCAGGGCCAGGAGGCGCCAGAAAGAATACAGGAGATGCTCCCGGCGGCGAGGCCGACAGTTGCACATGCAGCAGATCTCGCACACACCCCAGACATCCCACGGTGCGCGTCGCATCTCTTGCGCGGCCCCGGATGTCTCGACCCCTTCCCCAGGGACAGTCCTTCGCCCTGGATCCATTTTTGACGGTCCCCGGTCCTCGAAAACCGACGAATCGGAGGTGGACAGACCTCCTACCTTGACACGTCGATTCAGGAATTGACCGCGCATCCTTACTGTCCTGGTCGAGTGTAAGGGGAGGTTTACTAAAGGGAGGCTTGTCCACCGCCAGAAGAGGGAGGTTTACTAAAGGGAGGTTTGCTAAAGGGAGGTTTGGTTTGTCCACTGCCGGAAGAGCAGCGCCAGGATCGAACAGAGCACTCGCCCGACCGGGAGGCCAATCCTGGAGCCCGCGCGCGGCGCGCACAGCTTGCAGGAGGGGAACAAAAACTACGCAGACACAAGGAATCGTCGATTCCCCAGAACATAGGTAGGAGAAAACATGGGGATCGGGGGGGACGTCAAAACCCAGGAAAATATGGGAAAAATGTTGGGAATCTTGCTATGTGTGTTCATTTATTTGTATGTCCCCGGGCCCCTTCAAACTTGCATCGTCCAGTCCACGCCTCCGCCCTATCGGATCTTATGGGGCGACGGTCATGCGGCGACGCTCCGACGTGCAGTGTGTGGGGGCCCATGCCAAGGAACACCCTGCTTGCCTCCAGGGTGCCCTGGGTTTCATGGGTTTCGATGGTTTTGCTATGGGAAGCGTGACGTTCCCACACCAAAAAACCGACAGACGCCCTGGGATCTCAGAGTTGGGTTTCTGGTGGAAGGTGTCTTGTGGTCGGGCCCCTACTGTATGGGGCGACAGTCCCGCCGCGATGCTCCGACGTAGATCCGACGTGGACCCGGCGCAGACTGGGTCTCAAGCTGCCGCGCGGGGCGTCCAGGCGTTGAGGGGTGGGCACCTCCCCCCCCCAAGAAAAAAACACATTCCCATCGGTCGTTGGAAGTAGGTATTTCTTTGGATTCCCAGGTGCCAATCTACTTTAATAAGCGCCTTCCTACCTCAAGGATCGAGTGGCTTCACCTTTTCCATCCTCCCAAGGGGGCAGACGGGACCCAATCTATTTCCAACGCTTTCCCACTTCATGTTTCTGCCTACTTCTTCCGACCGATGGGTAAACATTAATGTTTGGCGCTCCGCGCGGATTTCTTCCCTAGCGCACGGAGCACGCCAGAGGCCGCGCCAGAGGCGCCGCCTGGGGGGCCCAGGCGCGGATCCAAGGAATCCGCACGGAGCGCCACAAGCTTATGTTTCTGTGCTTTTGTTCTCCTTCTTCGGGTGTTGCTAGAAGCACCCCTGGCCCAAGGTACCCCTAGGATTCTTGGGGTGGCCCAGGCAGCCTCCAGGGACACCCCTCGCGAGGCCCAGAGGGCCCCAGGGGATTCCGGAAGGGAGCGAGAAAAAGCCGGGGGCAGCTCGGGCCGGGGGCACTTCCAGCAGCGCCCAAGACCCCTGCCCCCCTCGCCCGACCCGAGCATCGGTGGCGGGGGGACGCCACGCCCAACGGCGTCGCCTACTCGGCGCGCCTGGACCCCGGCCTGCTGCTGGTGACGGGCAAGCTGTGGCCGCAGCTGTTCGCGCTGCGCGTGCCCCCCGAGGACCCCCCCGCGGGCGCCGGCCTCGGCCACGCTCGAGGTCGGGCCCGTCCCCTCTGCAGGAGGGATGCTCGGAGACAGCACACAAGTCGTCGGGGGACGACGTGTGGAGGGTTTTTGAGTTTTTTTTTGTGGGGGGGGGGGCTATGTTTTTATGGTTTCGTCGAACATCCGCCTGTGTGGGGGACATGCCCGACCTGAAGCCACGCGCAGAGGGACAGGGGGAGGAGGTGCCCATGCAGGGCTCGTTTCGAGTCCTTCGGCTCGACTCGATTCGGCTGCGATGGCGTCCGATCCCGACTCGATTCGGCTTAGGATTCCGATGTGGGTTCCGAATTCTTTCTGGAGGCATACTAGCTTGCCGATGTCCGCCGATTCGATTTTTCCCGACTCGGCTGCCGATTTCCGCCGAGCCGATTCATGTCGATCGCCGATCCGACTTATCGTTTCGATTCTGGGCTCTCCTGCCCATACCGCTACTCCTCCTTCGTTTTCCCCCTCCTTGGCCTCCTGGGAGGGCCTCGTCGCCACCGCTGGGTTCGCCTCGAAGTTCTGGTCCGAACTCACTTCGGGAGAGTAGCGGTATCGGTACCTTTGAGTTTCTCCCGGTGGACCCAGGGAGGGGCGGGGATTTCGGAGAAGCGCACTTGCTTCTTTGAAGGCGATGGCCCTATCTGTAGATCGATGTGGGGCTGGCGCTGTATCAGAAGCAGCCTCTTTCTAAGAGGCCTTCCCCCTCCATCCACCCCCCTTGTGCGCGCCGTCAAGCACCAACCGTCAGTATCTTTGAAGCCGATCCCCATGGCCATCGCGAGCCCCACCCTCCCACCGCCCCAATGAAGGGGATGCCCCTTGAAGCCCACATGGGAACAGCCTCTATCCCCATCTGGGGGAGTAAAGTGGAAACCCATGCCAACAAACACCCTGCTTGCCTCCATGGTGCCCTGGGTTGCTTGGATGTGGATGGTTTTGCTATGGAGCGTGATGCTTCCAAACGGGCGTCCTTGGGTCTCAGGGTTGGATTTCTTGTGGAAGGTTTTTTGTGGTCGAGCTCCTACTGAACAGTCGAAAACAATGGTAAGGATGGGCACCTTTCCAAGGGTACCATTGCATCCGTGCCTCGTCGGTCCTTCCTTGACTGCTTTTTATTGCCCGCTGCGCTCGAAAAGGCATCCAAGGGGCTTGCTTCGTTGTCGCGCATCCTACAACGGGTTCTGACTGTAAAGCAGCCAGTGGGGCCCAGGCAACGCCAAGGGGACAGGGATCGCTTATGGACGACACTCACGCCGCACTGCCCCAGTTCTGAGTGTGTTCCTCGAAGCCCGAAGGTAACAGCCTCCACAGTCAACCCGCATGGTAAGGATGCGCAATTCTCCAAGGTTACCCTTCCAAGGTCTTCCTTCCTCCGCCGACGCAGTCTGCCTGTTTGGGTAGCCCGGCGAAACATTTCAATATGTACCGCGCGATTTTCACCACCTTAGATGTATGTTTCGCTTTCAGTGTAAATGTTTGCCCCGGGCCCTCCCGGACACTTCAGTGCAAGTGCTCCGTCGCTCAGTGCACGGCGTTACTTTTCTGTCGTGGGGCAGGCGGGCGTGGCTGGAGTTCCATTGTTGCTGTCAGCTCAAACAAAAAAAAACTGTGTCTTCGGCCCATCCTTGGCCGCTTTCGCGGGCCGAAGCCCCGCTCGCAGAGCGTCGGCATGGCCTTCCAGAGCCCTTGCATCCCTATCGCGCATTATTATCAAGCGGGTCAGCCTTGAGTCTCGATCTTCGAGGAGAGGTGAGGAGGAGGAGGTGGAGGAGGAGGATGAGGATCAGGAGGAGGAGGAGGAGGCGAGGGAGGAGGAGGAGGCGAGGGAGGAGGAGGAGGAGGAGGAGGAGGAGGGCGGAGGAGGCGAGGAGGAGGAGGACGAGGAGGAGGGGGAGGGGAGGAGGAGGAGGAGGAGGAGGAGGAGGAGGAGGAGGAGGAGGAGGAGGAGGAGGAGGAGGAGGAGGAGGAGGAGGAGGAGGAGGAGGGGGAGGAGGAGGAGGAGGAGGAGGAGGAGGAGGAGGAGAGGAGGAGGAGGAGGAGGAGGAGGAGGAGGAGGGGGAGGAGGAGGAGGGGGAAGAGGGGGAACAGGGAGAGGAGGAGGAGGAGGAGGAGGAGGAGGAGGAGAGGCGGAGGAGCAGGAGGAGGAGGAGGATCAGAAGGAGGAGGAGGAGGAGGGAGGAGGAGGAGGAGGAGGAGGAGGAGGAGCAGCAGCATCGAGAGGAAGAGGAGGAGGAGGAGGAGGAGGAGGAGGAGGAGGAGGAGGAGGAGCATCGAGAGAGGCGGCCCCCCCCCGCCCCAGGGCCTCTGCGGCGGCCCCGCGGCCGCCCTCTCGGCGCCCGCGTGCCCGAGCCCCCCGGCCTCCGCGTGCTGGCCACCCGCCGCCGCCGCCCGCGCGGGCGGGGTCGCGGCGGCGCGCGGGGCGCCCGCGCTGCTGCCGGAGTGGGAGCCGGCCCCGCGGGGTCCAACGAGCCTTAAGTCGGGCATGTCTCGCAAGCAGTGGCGAGGCGTCCCGGCTCGCCTGTAGCCCTGCCAGGGAATGTTCTGAGAGCCTTGCGTGATTTCCACGGAATGTTCTGAGATCATGTCTGGTTGAGATTGTTTCGTTTTAACACATCGGGGTTATGTTCTGAGAACATGAGTTTTGTTATGAGAACATGTGTGGGTTTCTAAGAACATTTTGTGGTAGGACTATAGGAATGCCAGGACGGTCGGTCCCTGCTCAAGTCTCTCTACAGGAGGAAGATCCATACATAGGAACAAATTTGTTTGGGGACGAGTTTTCCATTAGCTTGTACTACTTGTGAATCGTTGTTTCTGGTGTTTTTCTTATATTTCGTCCAAAATCCGCCTGTAGGGTGGCATGCCCGACCGAATACGAGCCCTATGACGCTGACGATGAGGTTTCGAATCGGGGATTGGCTACAGAATTGATTTGCCGCAGAATTAAATTTCACGTCGAATACATCGACGAGCACGTAAAACTTTTCATAGGTCTACGCTGTTTCCATGGATTCGGCGAGCAAAATTGATTCTGGGATTCACTCTGTTCTGTAGTCGATCCCTTTTTCGAAGGGTGACGATTTTCGGCATCGTCATCGTCGCCGATTTATCCCCCAGGGTGTTCCCCCAGGGTGTTCCAGATTTATCGCCGTTTGGATGGAGGCTGATCCCTTCGGGCTTCGAAAGGGTTCGAAAGGGTAATGCGGCTCGAGCATCGTCGTTGACCGACCCTACCCCCACCGGAGTGGCCTGGGCCCAGGGGCTGATCCCCGGACCCGGACCCCCTCGGATCATGAACAGAGGCATGACGGAAGGTTTGTCGTTCTCCGCGGCCCCGGGGAGCCCGTCAGACGTCGCCTCGGGGTCAGAGCTTGTCGACTATAGATGTAAGAGTGACCTTTCGCCGGAGTGACCTTTGGTGCTGGCACAGATGGGTCCCCAGGTGGCTGAAAACGAAGCAGGAGCAGCGGCTTGCGCGCCCAGGTTTGGTCCCCCCGCGGCCCTCAAAAAGCCGCGCACCACCAAAGGTCACTCTTACCCAGGGTCACTCTTGCGTGTAGCCGAACTTGGTCCCAGGGCATGGGTCGAGAACTTCTGGGGCCGACGCTGTGAACAAATCAGGGCGTCGGTGAGAGCTCGTCGTCCCTGTGATCTTGGCGATCCCAAACTTCTTCGAGCAGGGCGTCTTCGCTCGGCTTCGGGCCCCAGGGTCCCCACGGATGGATCTGGCTCGAGACATGGCGCAGAAAGATAGGGCTCCTTAGGGCTCCAGTCGTGATTTCTCACGATGTTTTCATTTTTTCGAGACGTCGGGTCTCAGGAGGTTTTGGGGAGGCCGAATTGGGCTCGCACGGACCGACGTCGCCGATGCATCGCCGACACCAGCGACGTCGGCGACCGCGGCGATGCATCACCGACGTCGCCGATGCATCGCCGGAGTGGGGGCCAGCTCCGCGGGATGGCAGAGCACTCGCCGTCGCGTGTTAGCCGCCCCTGAGCCCCACGCATGCTCGCGCCGTGGCAAAGTCAGTACGGTGTCGCCGTTTCGGGCCTCTGGATTGTTATGTTTGGTCTTGGAGCTGTTGAAAAAACACAGCTCGGGGGGAAGAGCCGGTACTGGGGAGAGGAGAATAGAGATTTCGTTGTCAGGTGATACGGTCGAGAATCTTTGCTTCGCGTGTCTCTGGGCCTCCCAGATGGGATTCGAGTAGCTGGGGTCGAGGGTCGCGCCGCATCTCCGACGCATCCACGAGGCGGCTCGAAGGTGGATCCCGATTGTCTTCAAGGCAACGTCGCCGATGCATCGCTGGCGTCGCCGGAACAGCGCCGGAGAGGGAGCGCCAGTTCCGCAGGGGAGCAGAGAGAACCCATCGCTGCATGGTATCCGATCCCGAGCCAACTCTAGAGCCAGCTGTGGGTCTGAGGTGGCCCAGCATTTCGGTATCGTTCAACCGAGCCCCATCCCCATCCCCATCCCCTTCGAGACCCCCACCGAATTACCACCCCAGTTGGGATACACCCCTCGAAACCCGAAGAGAACGACCGAAATCCCCATCTGGGAGGAAAAGTCGTCCAGTGGAGCCGAGGCCACGCCGCTGGGGATGAGCATCGGTTCAACGATGCTCAGCATCGGCTCCGGCGAGCGGGAGGAGGGGGCAGGCTCGAGGCTCCTGGTTCGAGCAGGTGCTGTGCCCTCTGCTGCCTCCAGGGGCCTTCCTCGGGGCCGGGCTGGAAAAAGCTGCACCAGAGGAGGAGGAGGAGGAGGAGGAGGAGGAGGAGGAGGAGGAGGGAGGAGGAGGTCCGGGGACGGAGTCGGGGCAGATTTTTTTGTGGTCCCCCTTTCTTGACCGAAGTGCCTCTGTCCCCCGAGAGCTCGTCGTGGCGTGCTGCCCGGCCCCTGCTCAAGCAGGGTGAGTTTCGAGCCGACCGATGCAAGTCGAGTCATCGGCTCGGGCCTGCCTGAGCCGGTGCGATTCCGGGTTATTCCAATGATCCGTTGCGGCCCGATGCTTGCCCCACGCTTATGAAGACCAGGTGGGCAAGGCCCTCGCCTCAGAAGCCGGGTGTCTCTGGACGACATGCCGTGCGAGGCGCACATCAAGAGCAAGTTGTGGGGGGGGAGGGGGAAGGTCCTGGAGGTTCTGTTTGTATGTACGTGCGGCTCCCGAGTCATTCGCGCGGCCCTGGCCGCTGCATTTGACTTTCTCCGCCTCGACGCTACGCGCCAGGCCGCGACCGCCAAACATTGTGTGTGTGTGTGTGTGTGTGTGTGTGTGTGTGTGTGTGTGTGTGTGTGTGTGTGTGTGTGTGTGTGTGTGTGTGTGTGTGTGTGTGTGTGTGTGTGTGTGTGTGTGTGTGTGTGTGTGTGTGTGTGTGTGTGTGTGTGTGTGTGTGTGTGTGTGTGTGTGTGTGTGTGTGTGTGTGTGTGTGTGTGTGTGTGTGTGTGTGTGTGTGTGTGTGTGTGTGTGTGTGTGTGTGTGTGTGTGTGTGTGTGTGTGTGTGTGTGTGTGTGTGTGTGTGTGTGTGTGTGTGTGTGTGTGTGTGTGTGTGTGTGTGTGTGTGTGTGTGTGTGTGTGTGTGTGTGTGTGTGTTTTGCACGTACGCGGCGCTCCAAAATCCAGCCAGACCGAGGTAACAGATCGAGGTCGGTTCGGGGAGGGTGCCCCAGTGTTCTTCGTGTTCGTTGGATGCTCTTGTGCATCATGGGCAGGGTACCCTTGGGTGTCCTGCTTGCTTTGGTCGACACGGGTTTTGATGCTCTTGAGAGATGGTCTTTTGGCCTAGGTCCGACTGTAATTCGCGCGGCCTTCGGACAGCTTGTGCCTCTCTCAGAAGGCGGCGGGACTTCTCAGTGGGACGTCTCGCGCTTTCTGAGAAATGTCCCATGTCCTCGGGGAGGGCTTTGAAGACTTCCCGGAAGGCCGCGGGGGGGTCCGAGCCTTCTGAGACTCGGCATCGCTCGGACGTGTGCATTTTTCCTTCGGCGAGGACCATCGAGGAGCATCCTTGATCATTTGGCGAAAAAACCACGCACGAAACCGAAAAAACACAGGAAATGGACGTCCGAGTGATGGCCAGGAGAAGGCCCGCCCCTTCTCATTTCCTCCCTCAGGCACGCCGCCGACAGGGGCACGCGTCCCCGACGGCGGACCAGTCAGTCTATGTCACACCGGTATGCGTCCGCCGAGGGAGGGCGGACATGCGCCACCGCCGCGCGTCTCCGTCGGGGAGACGTACAGTCGGGGCGCTGAAGAAGGAACCCTTTTCGTTTGGGAGGGGCTCCGTGTTCCTTAATTGTTTTACTGTTTGCCTTAGGCTCACCGTCGGTTTTCGATCGGAAATCGAAGTTAAACTTAACAAAAACAGGGGCCTTGTTACTTATTTAGGGTTCCTGAGGTCAACGCCCCGACTGTAAGACGCGGGTTCGGGAGGCTCGGGTTGGTTGGCCGGACGGGTTCCCGCCTCGGGCTCGCCGCCGAAAGTCAGGGGATCGCAAGCACGGATCAAGGGGGCGTGGGTTAGCGACGGGTCCCGTTTCCATGGTACATCGCGGATTTCCGCCGCCGAACGACAGGCCGCATTTTGGGGAGGGCGCCTCCCCCGATCCATGGACTTGGCGACCGCGCGCCAAATGCATGGATCGCAAATCCATGTTTGCGCACCCCCGAGTGCTTTTCGAGATCGATATTGCATGCTGTCTCTGTCAGGCAGACCGTACACTCAGCGCGCACGAGAGGGCTGCGCGGTAGGGGTGCAGGCCCCTTGGACGCCTGAGATGGAATCTTCATGAGCGAAGGATTGCCAGAGGGAAGGCCGAACAGGCAAGGATGCAAGGGCACCGCGCGCGGCCGAAGACCACTCGCGCGGCCCTCGGACATGCCCGTGCCCCCGTCGGGATGCTCGGCCTGCCAGGTTCCGGAGCTCCTGGCCCGCGCCGCCGCGGCGCTGGGGCTGGTCCTGGCCGCCGCGTCCGTGGCGCTGCCCGTGCACCTCGTGGCGGCGCCCCCGAAGGAGGCGGCGCAAGGGGACGCCCCTCGGGATCCCGCAAGAGGGGGTGTGTGCTCCCCGGGGTGTGTGAGTTCGATCGGTTCTTGCTCCGGACCGCCCCAGACAGATGCCCCCCAGGCCCCCGATGGTCGCCGACAGGTGGGGCATGCGGGGAGCACCTGTGTGCGGCAGTTCGGTGCACCAGCGGATCGAACTCATGCCCCCCCTCAGGGTCCCCCCCCTCGGGTAGATCCCGAGCCTTCTGAAAGAAGCTCCAGAAGCTCAGGAGGGGAGAAAACACACAGGCACAATGACTCGTCGACTCCCAGGAAAATAAGGGAAAAATGCGGGAAGTGTGGGGGGGGGAAGACGAAGCTCCAGAACGTGTGTGAATAGACGGGAGATGCTGGGATTTGTGCCGATTTATTGATGTGCCCCCGGCCCGCCTCAGAAACACGGGGGTCATGACCAAATGTCGCAGGATTCTTCGACGTTCGCGTCGCTTCTCGGCGGTTTCCCAGCCTCGGGATGTCGCGGGATTTTTCGGCGTTCTCGTCGCTCCTCGGCGGCTTCCCAGCCTCGGGGTGGTTGCCAGCAGCGGCGCCTCGCCGAGGGCATTCAGGGGGTGCCCGGCCGTCCCGAACGGCCGCCGGAGACGGGGGCGATTGACCCGAAAACCAGACTCGCCGACGAGCGAGCGGAGCTTCTCAGAAGGATTAAGGCCTTCTCAGCAGGCGGAGAGGTTTTCTGCGTCCTCCGTGGAGGCTTGGAAAACTTGCGGAAGGCCAGGAGACTTCCGAGCCTTCTGAGAAGGCCCGCCCCTTCTCACTCCCCCCCCCGGCTCGCCGCCGAATTTTGTCAACGCGATGTTGGTGATGGTCCATTTCGGCCGTCGCCGACTCGCGAGGGTGATCCACGAAACGATGTTGACCAAGATAGGCGGTTGCCAAGTTCGGTACAATTTTTTTCCGCGTTCGGCCTCGGGCATGGCCCCGGTGCTCTTCCCCTCCAACTGAGAAGGCAGGGGGGCTTCCCGGAAGGCAGGGGTCTTCTTACAAGGCCCCAGAGGCTTCCGAGCAGGCTCCCTAGAAGCCAGGCGGTCTTCTGAGGAGCCTCCCTGCCGCCTTGGAAGCCCCGCCGCCTTCTCACAAGGCCGCCCCCCTCGCGCCACTGCTTGTTGGGCGCCGCCAGACATCGGGAGGAAGCGGTGCCAGCTCCGGCGCCTCCAGCAGCCGGGCCGTGCGGGCGGGGGCGAGCCCGGGCCGGTCCAGCTGGGCGCGAGGCAGCCGTGAGCGTTGCCGCCACGCCCCCCCCCCCGCGGTGAAAAGGGCGCGCGCCGGGAGCTCTGGGGATGGTCCTCCTTGAAGCGCTATTTCAAGTCTTCCTCCTCCTCCTCCTGCTCCTCCTCCTCTCCCTTTCCTTCTCCTCTTCCTCCTCTTCCTCCATTTCTCCTGCACCTCCTCCCCTTCCTCCTCCCCCGCCTCCTCTTCCTCCTCCCTCCTCCCTCCTACTCCACATCCTCCTTCGCGGACCGCGGGTGCCGACACTGGCGGGGTGGCACCATGCGGGCACTGCCACTGGGACCTTCGGTGGAGCTTCCTACGGGGACACGAAGTACGTGAGGGGTGAGCCGACATGGGCAAGTTGACGCCATGCGAGCGCTGCCACCAGAGCCTTCGGAACCTCCCATGGCGTCACGAAGCGTTCGAAGGGCGCGCTGAAATGGACATGCGCACAGCTGAAGCAGGGATGGGAGGAGGGAGGCAGGAGGGGGAGGAGAGGAGAGGAGAGGAGAGGAGGGGAGAGAGGACGCGGGGCGCTGTCTCTTCAAAACGATGACCCAACATCACAGACTGGTTGGGAAATATATTGGAGCCAACGTCCAGTACGGCCCATCAGTTGGCGGAGGCGAGAAAATTGGGACGGAAACGACGAGGATCGAGCTGCTTCCAGGAATGTGGCCCGCGTTGGGGCGAGAGCGAAAAATTTAACGACGAAAGCAGATCGCCGATCCTGGAATGCGGTTGATGCTGCTGCAGGAGGGTCAGTGTTTCAAGATCGACAGCGATAAGATGGAAGAAACACATGAAACACAACAGCTGGAACCTTGTGTGCGTGAGTGTGCGTGTGCGCGTGTGTTCGTGTGCGCGTGTGTGCGCGTGTGCGGGTGTACGCGGATGTGTGCGTGTGTGTGTGTGTGCGTGTAGTTGTGCGTGTGTGTGTGTGTGTATGCGTGTGTGTGTATGTGTGTAAGTGCGTGTGAGCGTGTGTGTGTGTATGTATGTGTGTGGTGTATGTGTGTGGTGTGTGTATGGTGTGTGTGGTGTGTGTGTGTGATGTGTGGTGTGTGGTGCGTGATGTGGTGTGTGGTGTGTGGTGTGTGATGTGGTTGTGTGGGTGGTGTGTGGTGTGTGATGTGTTGTGTGTGTTGAGTGTGTGTGTTGTGTGCGTGTTGTGTGCTGTGTGTGTGTGGTGTGTGTGGTTGTGTCTTGTGTGTTGTGTGTGTTGTGTGTTGTGCGTGTTGTGCGTGTTGTGTATATCGTGTGTTGTGTGTTGTGTTGTTTGTGGGTGTGCGTGTGTGTGTGTGCGTGGCTGTGTGGCTGTGTGTGTGCGTGCGTGCGTGCGCGAGTTCGTGCGTGCGTGCTAGATTGCGTGTGTGCGTGCGTGCGTGGGTGTGCGTGCGTGCGTGCGTGCGTGCCTGCGTGCGTGCCAGCGTGTGTGTGTATGTGTGTGCGTGTGCGTGTGTGTGTGTATGTATGTGAATGTGTGTGTGCGGGCGGGCGGGCGTGCGTGCGTGCGTGTATGTGTGTGTATGTGTGTGTGTGCGCGTGCGTGCGTGCGTGTGTGCGTGCGTGTGTGCGTGCGCGAGTAAGTGAATGAGTGACCTTGCGTTTGTGTGTTTGTGTCTGTGAGTGCGTGTGTGGGCGTGTGTATGCGTGTGTGTGCGTGTGTATGCATGTGTGTGCGTGTGTGTTTGTGTGTCCGTGTGTGCGTGTGTGCGTGCGGGCGTGCGTGTGTGCGTGTGCCCGTTTCTGCGTGTGTGCGTGTGTTCGTGTGTGTGTGTGCGTGCGTGCGTGCGTGCGTGCGTGTGTGCGTGTGTGCGTGTGTGCGACTGTTCTTGGGTGCGTGGGTGCGTGTGCGCGTATGTGCGTGTGTGTGTGCGTGTGTGCATGTTTGCGTGTGTGCGTGTGTGCGTATGTGCCGTTCTGCGTGTCTGCGTGTCTTCGTGTCTGCGTGTGTACGCTGCGTGTGTATGTGTATGTGTGTGTGGTGTGTGTGTGTGTGTCTGTCTGTGTGTGCCCCTCTCCCCCGCCCCCCTCCCTGCAGAGCCCCCCCGCTTCCGGGAAGGCCGGCCCGGGCCGCTCCCCCAGGGAGCGCCCCTCGGCCGCCGCCGTTTTTGGTGCGCCAGCTTTCGCCCCGTCGCCGCTCGCAGTGCCGCGACGCCAAATGGTTGTGTGCGTGCGCGTGTGTGTTTGCGTGTGTGTGTGTGTGTTTTGTGCCTCCGCGCCGCTGTGTTCATGTGCCGTTGCGTTGCTGTGTTCATGCGTCTCTGTGTCACCGTGTTTCTGTGTTTCCGTGTGCATGCGTGCGTGAAAACAATGTGCGGGGGGGAGACGGGAGACGCCCCCGCACAACAAAGCATCAGCGGAGAGGTAAATTTATAATCCATGTTGTTAGGTCAAAAGGGGGAGGCAGACAGAGGGGCGGGGGGGACGCGAGACGCGAGGTAATTGTAGGAGGGAGATTGCGAGCAGCTCCTCCCCTTTTCATCCCCCCCACCATACGATCCATGCCCATTCCTCCTCCGCCCCCCCTCCCTGCTCCTCTCCATCCCCTTTTCCCGTTCGTTTGTATTTGTTTTCGCGTTTCGTCGTGTTGTGTCTGTTTCTCTCTCTCTCTCTCTTTTTCTCTCTCTCTTTCTCTCTCTCTCTCTCTCTCGCTCTCTCTTTCTCTCTTTTGTTGTTCTCTCTCTCTCTCTCTCTCTCTCTATATATATATATATATCTCGTTCTATCTCTCTCTCTCTCTCTCTTTCTCTCTCTCTCTCTCTCTATATATATATATATATCTTTATCTCTCGCTCTTTCTCTTTTTCTCTCTTTCTATGCATATGTTTCTCTCGCTTTCGCAATTGGGTATGTGTACACATGGATGTGCATGTGTCTACGTATATACATATAGCGGCATTCGGCCGATCCCGCCGCTTGGCCTGGGTTTTGGGTAAAAGGCCTCTTGGGCGTTCAGTGGGATATCGTGAAAGACCTCTCGGGGGTCTCTTGGATGCAGCTCAGCTGGGTGCTGTTTGGTGTGGAAGGCTCGCATTGTCGGTTCGTGTTCCCCCTCTTGGGCTCCTCTTTGGGCATTTTTGTGTGTGTTTTGGTGGCCGTTTTGGACGCCGCTTGGGCCGCTTCGGGGCCCTCTTGGGCCGTCATGGGGCCCTCGGGGCTTATTTGGCCGTTTTGGGGCGGTCCTGGGAGCCTTTGGGGACCATCTTGGAGCGTCGGAAGCCCGAAAACACGAGAACGCAAAAAACAAAACATCAAACAACACTGCGACAATTCATGAGTGTTGCATATTGGGGCCTATTGGAGTGCCTTTTGGAGCGCTCTTGGTGCTTATGTGGGGCCTCTTGGGCCGTCGTGGGGCCATTGTGGGCGTTTGGGAGCGCTCTTGGGCCGCGTTGAAAGCCTCTCGGACCCTCTTGGGCACTTACTGGGTCCTTCTTTGCCGTTTTGGGGCCCTCGGGCAGAGCGAATACATAAAGCATGAGAAGCGAGTGCGCGTGCCTTGAGTCGAAGTAGTAGAGCGGCGCTTTGCGAATGACAGCAGGAGCAGTGAAAGCGCACACGCTGTGAGGCCAATTGGCAGGGCGGGCGTTCTGCGAATCAGAGCCCGGGCAGGATGGGGAACTTTGCTTTGAGGCCAATTAGCAGAGCAGCGCTTTGCTAATGAGGAGAGGCGCAGCCAGTGCGTATGTTTCAAGGTCAATTAGAAGAGCGCCGCGCTGTCAATTGGATCCCGAACAGTCTAAGAATGTGGGGCCCCAGCCCCTAAAGCACTAGAGCATGTATGTATGTATATATGTATGTATGCATGCATGCATGCATACATGCATGCATGCATGCATGTATGCGTGGGCACTTGCATACACACTACACACTGGTATGCACTTGCATACATGTACATATACATATGCGTACGTGCAAACATCGCATATACTTATGTACGTAAACATGTTAAAGTTACGCATGCACGGGTATATGCTTGTGTATTTACCTATATCTACTAGAACCACGCGCGCTTCGCGCGCGTAGGTTCCAGCGAGCTCCAGTTGTAGTCTAAAGTGTTCGGCATCGGAGGATATAGTTTGTCACAAGGATCGTGCACCTCTGGGATTTCCACCTGAGCCCCTCAGATGAGCTTGGCTGAGGGTCACCCCGCCCGTGCCGGCACACCCTTCGCAGGCATCGCGTCCCACAGGGAGATCCACTGAATTACGTCACCAGAGACGAGGTTCGCACAGTTGCACACCCCTCACTCGGACGGTGCCCTGCAAGTAAATGAATTTGCGGCACCAGAGAGGAGTTTCATAACATCGCCCCGCTCTCTTCGGGTCACTTCGCACACGTATCGGGGCCCGCAAAGACATCCGCAGACGGCCCCAAAGACAAGGTTCGCATCCCGCCATCCCGCCTACTTCGGCACACCTCGCACACAGATCGTGATCATGGCCCACAGGGATCTCCACCCACGGCCCCAGAGGCAGGGTTCGCACTGCGCCCCCCCGGTCATTGCGGCACACCCCATCACGTGGATCATGCCCACAAGGAGCACCACCTAAAGGCCCGGAAGGTTCGTACAAAGCCCCCCCCGCCCATGTTGGCACATTTGTCACGCGAATCATGCCCCAGAATAGGCATCCTTGCATGGCGTCCCCGCGCCACTTTCGGAACATGCCTGGCACGGGGCGTGTCAGGTCCACCTGCGGCCTCATCCTCTTGGGAGTACTTTGGCAGGCCTCTTGGGACGGCTCGGAGCCCTTTCAGGGCCGTCTCGGGGCCATCTTGGACCGTCTTGGGCGACTCTGGGCCTTCTTGGGCCGTCTTGGGCGTCGTCTTGGGGCCAATTTGGGCCGTTTTGGGCGCCTCTTGGGCCGCCTAGGCGCCCTCTTGGTCCGCCTTGGGGGCCTCATGGGATCATCTGGGGCCGTCTTGGGGGAGTCTTGGGAGCCTCTTGGACCGTCTTTAAAGCCGTGAGAGCTGCAAAGGCGCACTCGCTAAAAATTTAAGTTCCCCCTAGGAATTTAATGATTTTGGCCTCTTGAGGCCCTCTTGGGAGAGCTCTCGAAGCCTTCTTGGAGCGTCTTGGGGCGTTTTTGGGCCGTATTGGGCAACTCGAGGCCTTCTTGCGCCGTTTTGGGGGCCTCTTGGAACACTCTTGGCTCGTTTTGGCACCCTCTTGGCCTCTCCGGGCCGCCTCTGGAGAGGGAAACGGGGGGGTATCCGCGAGCGTATTAGAATTGTTCCGGGCTGGGCCGGCCCAGGCCGGGGGGGGGGCTATTCATATATATATATATATATATATATATATACATATACATATACACATATAATGTATGTGTAGATATGTGTCTGCGCCTGTCATGTGTATATCCCCCATATTCCTCCCCCTCCCTCCCTCCTTTCTTCTCCCGCCACGTCGTCGATATCAGCTAATCCCTCCTTTTCCTCCTCCTCCTCCACCTCTTCTTCCGGAGCCCCCCCCCCTCCGAAGGGAACGCGGCGAGTGCTTCTGATACGCTCAAGCCTGCGCTCGCTCGCGCTCCCCGTCCCACCCTCTGGCCCACTCTCCGCACCATCCTCGGCTCGCCTCATTGCTCCTCCAGCCTCCTGCCCGCCCCCCTTCCTTTCGTTCCTCCCTCCCGTCCCCTCAGGCCGCCTCCTCCTCCTCCTCCTCCTCGTCCTCCTCCTCCTCCTCTTCCTCGTCCTCCTCCTCCTCCTCCTCCTCCTCCTCCTCCTCCTCCTTCTCCCCCGCCTTGGGGCAGTCGAAAGAGGCGGTCAGCTCAGACTTGGTCACCAGCTCTAGCGGCCGCGGAGGAGCGGCAACGGGAGGAGGAGAAGGAGGAGGAGGAGGAGAGGGAGGAGGAGAAGGAGGAGGAGGAGGAGGATAGAGAGGAGGACGAGGACGAGAAGGAGGACCAGAGTAAACGGAAGACGCGTCAGAGATGTTGCAATACACCCTCCCCTCCCAAATCCCCTCACGAAGCATATGATGGGTATTCCGAAGTGCGCGGGGGATTGCGTGGGTCGGTTCCATTGAGGCCTTCGGTGCAGCTCCCTTCGGGGCCCCGAAACGTGTGAAGAGTGTGACGAAATAGTCGGGGAACGTTATGCGGCCACACCCCCTTGGGGCTTAGGTGGAGCTCCCTATGAGGCCACGAAGCGTGTGATGTGTGTGCGGACATGGGGGGGACGCTATGCGGCCACACCCCTTTGGGGTTTCGGTGGAGCTCCTTATGGGGCCACGAAACGTGCAATGGGTGTGCCGACATGGGCATGCGGATGGCAGAGGAAGATGGAGGTGGCAGCGGGAAGGAAGATGGACGCGGGGCGCTATTGATTCAAGACCAGCACGGGGCACCATAGTACGATGGGGGGAAAGACCGTTTCGACCATGCTCGTGGTGGCCCCCCCCCCTCGGAGGAGGAGAAGGAGGAGGAGGAGCAGCAGCAGGAGGGGCAGGAGGAGGAGGAGGAGGAGGAGCGCACGGTCAACTTCCGTGCTGCCGACACCGGCCTGTTGGCGCTGGGCTGTGCGCCGACGGCTACGGATGCACAGGGGGGGCTCTGCGGCGGCCGGGCGGCGAGCGCCCCGCAGCTTCCCACAGCTGCCCAAACCGGGAGCATCGAGCAGCGGCGAAGCGTCTCTGCTTGCCTCTAGGCTCACCAAAGAATGTTGTGAGAAGCTTGTGTGTCGCCGAGGGCGTTCCACTACTCGCGAAGTGCCTACTCGCAAACGTCCGAAAAAAAACACCTGTCTGCTTTGATGTAATGTATCGTGGATCCTCGGCGGGGGATCCAGGCCATTTGCGAGTAGTTACTTTGCGAGTAGTGGAGCGCGCTCGTCGAATGAGGGTCGCAAGAGAGGTTCTCAGAACGCTCCAGGCTTGGACTAGCTTGTGTGAGCGCATCAGGCTTGTGTTCTGAGCGCACGTTTTTGGGTCATTTGAGCATGGCTGGGTTCTGCAAGGATTCCGCGGCAGCCTATGGGAATGCCAGGACGGCCGGCCCCTGCGCAGGTGGAGGCGGCGCAGGAGGCCGCCCGCGGGCCGTGTGGACCCCAACCGTTCCCAAAGCAGGCAGCGCCCCGATCCCTTCGGTTCCCCGCCTCTTCGGGGGCGCCGTCGTCGTTGTCGCCCCAAAGAGCTTCAGGAGGGGAAAAAACACCCAGACACAATTAATCGTCGATTCCCCAGAACATGTGGGAAAATATGGGCAGCGGGGGGGAAGACGAAAACCCAGAAAATACGGGAAAATATAGGGAATCCTGCTATTTGTGTCTCTTCATATTTGTGTGTCCCCGGGCCCCTTCAGATTTGCAGACCTCCGGCGATCTGATGTTTTGAATGCGAGCGTCTTGCCTCAAGATCGGACCATGCGATCCCGGAGTCCCGACGCTTCTCCCGGGGGGCCGGGTTTTCAATCCGAGTCGTTCTTGCTCCCGGGGCCCTGGAACGGCCCAGAGGCGCCGAAAACGACGAAACGCTTCCCGTCTTTTGGATTTGCTTTTCTACGACGCGGGCATGTTTCGGCGGCGAGGCCAAGAGGAGAAGTGAGAAGGAAAAGGGCTTCTCAGAAGGTTGGGGAGTCCCCCGGCCTTCTGAGAAGTGTTCTAAGTTCCCACCGAAGACAGAAATGTGTCAGAAGGCGCGAGGCCTTCTGAGAAGCCCCGCCGCATTCTGAGAAGGGCTTTTCCTTCTGATTTCCCCCCTCGTTCGCCGCCGAATCAACGCCCGCACCACCATTCTCGGCAATGTGGCTTCGGCGGCATCTCCAACCATCTTGCTGGCCGACGGCAATCGACGATGATCGACGATGGCCGACGCTGCATCGACGCTAACCGACGCCAGTCGACGCCAGATCGCGCTCTCTCATCGATTACCAGAGGCTACTCGACTCGACCCGAAGCTCTAGACGGAACCGGGGCGGTGCGCGAAGCTCCCACGATTTGTTCCCGAATGAGCTTGGAGCATATCGCCGCCGAGTGGAGGAGGAGGAGGACGACGAGGAGGACGACGACGACGAGGAGGAGGAGGAGGAGGACGACGAGGAGGACGACGAGGAGGACGACGACGAGGAGGAGGAGGAGGAGGAGGAGGAGGACGAGGAGGAGGAGGAGGAGGAGGAGGAGAGGAGGACGAGGAGAGGAGAGGAGGAGGACGACGAGGAGGAGGAGGAGGAGGGGGGGGGAGGGGGGGAGGGGGGAGGGGAGGGAAAGGAGAGGGCGAGGAGGAGGAAGAGGAGGAGGAGGAGGAGGAGGAGCAGGAGCAGGAGCAGGATGAGGAGGAGGAGGAGGAGGAGGAGGAGGAGGAGGAGGAGGAGGAGGTGGCCCCCCTCCGAGCGGGCCCGCCGCTCCACGGAGCCCGCCGCCCGCCGCTCCCCTGGGGGCGACCGCCCCCGCCGCGACGCCGCCTCAGGGCGGCCGCGCCACGACGCCGCCGACGCCAACGAAAGGCCCCCCGCGCCGCCGCGACGTCGTCGTCGTCGTCGTTGTTGTCGTCGAGCTCGAATCGGGCATTGAACGAACGCCCGCCAAGGCATCGGAGGAGGAAAAAAGGTACCCATACCGCACCGCTACCTGTGCCTGCCTCGTTTTCGTTGTTTGGGGCCTCCTTGGAGGCCCTCGTCGCCACGGCTGGATTCGCCTCGAAATGTTGGTCATAACGCACCCCGGGAGAGGTCCCAGGAGTAGCTGTATCTGTACTTTTTGGTTTGTTCAAGACAAGTCGAGTCAGGAAACCAGCATTGGTTCACTCGACATTGGTATTCGAATGCGCCAGCACAAACCCCAGAAGGTTCCGCTGATCGACGTGTGTCTCGCCGGGTACATTCGGCTGTCTTCGGGCGTCGATTTGCGATCCCGCTGGGGTCCATTCGGAATGCGGTGCCGCGCGCATGTGGGACGCCCCTTACAAATTTCCACTCAAGGGCGTTTTGCTATGTTTAAAGGGTGCTCTGTCAATACTCTACAGAACGTCTGCTGGGAGTCGGCAGGCATGTGGAGCTGATCCGAATGTTCCGATGTATTGCGTGGGGAATTGATTCCCCCAACCCTTGTCCCGTCCAGGCCATCCAGATGGGGTGATGGGGGGGTGCTGGGGTCCCAAATCTGTCTCCAAGGGGCGCTGTGGGGCGCCAAAGGCTGTTGAGAATCGAGGGGCAAAAGACGGCCCGCTCCGCGCCAGGGGGGGGTCCAGGACGCCCAAATGAGGTCGAAGCGTATGGGTTCGAAGGATCGGGCCGCATTGCCAATGCATGGGCCTTGGGGCTCGGTGTGGAGCCCGACTTTCTCCACGCCGACGTCGCCAATGCATCGGAGATGCGGCGCGATCTTCCGATCCTATCCACCTCGACCCCCCGTGTGGGCGGCCTCCGTGGAGGGCACCGGCATGCGGCGTCTCGAGCAGATCGAAGCGGAGGGTGTTCTCCGCTCTTGGCCTCCTGGGGCCGTTATGGAATGCTTACACGCCTGTCGTTGAAAGTAGGTATTCTTGGATTCCCAGATCTCAATCTACTTCACGCGCCTTCCTACTTCAAGAATCGACATGCTTTTGCTGTGTTTTGTTATTCTCTGGGAGGGCCTGGACCCAATCCACTACATCCGCCTTTCTACTTCATGTTTCTACCTACTTCTTCCGACCGACGTGCATGCTTGTTTATGAAAGAAAGGGGTACGCAAACTGGCTTGTTTGTAGACTCCCGGTATTGTACACCCTCGTTCTTCATCCTCGTTGTCTCATACCCTCTTTTTTCTATTCCCGCGAAAAACAATCCCCCGAGAAGGGGTCCAGACTCCCGGGGGGAACTTTACCCCCGCCCCAAAAAAAAACACTACATCGGAACTCGTAGGTGTGGTTGTCCACATTGACATCATTGGATCTCCGTCTCCAGATCACGCTCCACGGGTGCTGGAGGGCGCCGGGGGCGATCGAGAGTGGAAGCGCAAAAACACGGCGTGAGCAAATCAACCTTTCGAGCTCCGCGCGGAGTTCCTGGCTCTGCGTTGGCACCCCGCTGCCCGTGCTGGAGGCGATCGGAGGACGCTTTGGGGCGACGGGTATGTCCATATCCGTGCCCTGGCGGTCTGGACACCGAGGCGCGATCCCGCAGATGCGCGATCCCATGGAGCGGGAGGGAAAAATACACACAGACACAAACAAACGTAGATCCCCAGGTAATGATTGGAAAATATTGGAAATGGAGGGGAAGACGAGAATCGAGACAAGATTTGAAAGGACTAGGAATCCTGAATATGTTGTGCTCATTTCTTTGTGTGTCCCGTGGCCCCCTTCAATGGATGCATTCCGCTGGTGGCATCCGGAAAACGCCGCTTTGTTATCCAGGGGATCGCGGCCGCGGCGTCAGGACCGCGCGGCCGTGGATGTGGATCTGATCCCCGCAAACGAGAGGCTCATGCGGCGATGGCGCGCCGGCGACACCTGCGAAGGGGCGTTCCAGGCTGAACTCCGCACTACAGAACAACGCGGGAGCAACGAGGGGCACGGCAACGCCACAGGACCCGACGGATTTCAACCTTGAGCCATCGGAGCCGCGACCGGTCCAGGGGGGGCGCCGGGGTCTGGAAGGATAGGCGTGACCATAGACCTTCATCCCCAGCCCATCGGGCAGCTCGGCCATCAGTCGGGGGGTATCAGCACAGACACAATTCATCGTCGATCCGTCGGGAAATATTGGAGAACACGGGAAGTGGGGGGGGGGGGGTAAGACGAACATCCAGAAAACATCAGAAAGCAAGTGCAAGGAATCCTGGCATTCGTACCTATCTGTGTGTCCTTTGGGCCCCCGACAGGGCAGCAGCGCGCGCCGAGGGCGCTCGCCCTGCGCAGGCCGCCGTTTTTCTCGTCGGCGCTCCCCCGGGGCCCCTGCAGGGGTGGAGGCCACGGCTGCCCGCCTCCGCGGCAAAGAGGGGGGTGAGGACTCTGGGGGGGGGGATAGCATGGCGGGGGCCATGATATGTCCACCTGGGGCGTTCCAGGAGAAGGCCCCGCCTTTCGAGGATCGGGGGCGGCAAAGAGGGGGGTGATGACTCTGGGGGGGGGGATAGCATGGCGGGGGCCATGATATGTCCACCTGGGGCGTTCCAGGAGAAGGCCCCGCCTTTCGAGGATCGGGGGCGGCAAAGAGGGGGGTGATGACTCTGGGGGGGGGGATATCATGGCGGGGGCCATGAGGTTTCCCGAGATTTCATGGCGCCTCCTCGTCCACCTGGGACGTTCCAGGAAAGTCTGCACGAACGAGATGGGCACGGAAAGAACGGGTACAATGCTCAACAGCAGTTCCTGTTCACTTTGACTAGGACTCGCTGTCCGCGCCGCCGCGGCCTGTGTCCATTCGAGACAGAAGGCCGGACCTGCCCAACAGCGGCCGCTGTTGGTTTGGGACAACATTCGTTGTTGGGCACTGTACCCATTCTTTCCGTGCCCATTTGGGGCGTCCAAAGAAAGGGCCTCGCCTTCGAGGATCGGGGGCGGCAAAGAGGGGGGTGATAACTAGGGGGGGGTGGATAGCATGGCGGGGGCCATGATGTTTCCCCGGATTTCATGGCGCCTCGTCTTGTTTCATTACGTCCCTGGCCCCCCCGCTGGGTCGCGCACATGCCGCTGGTCATGATTTGCACCCCCCTCTTGGACACCCCCCTCTTGGCCGCTCCCGAGAGGATAGAAATTAAGTCGGGCCTGTCCCTCTACGGGGGGGAGAATCAAAAATAGTCCAAAAGTGGGCCGGGGACGATTGATGGAGTATGTTTGATGATTTTGTTGCTTGTTTGTTGACTGTCTTTTATGTTTCGTCCAAAATCCGCCTGTAGGAGGACATGCCCGACCTAGGCCCACTTGCGGATGTCGCTAGCTCGGCAGTTCACCGGCCCGCGCTGCGCTGCGCGCTCGCGCCCTCCCTCCCCCCTGCAAGCCTTGTCTGCGGGGCCATGCCGCGTCGCTGCCGGAGGAGCCGTGCAGCGGCGCCGCACTGGATCCGCCAGATCCTCCTCAGTATTGTTTGCCCTCCTGCCTCACAGGGGAACAAAAAGTGGCATAAACATAAAAACTCTGAGGTCCGCGCGGATTTCTCGGATCCGCGCTGGACCTGGCGCGCTCCGCGCGCCAGGGAGGGGAGTCCAGCGCCGATCCGAGAAATCCGCGCGGACCTCCGAGTTTTTATGTTTATGCCACTTTTTGTTCCCTTATCTCATCCTTCCCCCTTCGCCCTCTCATTCAAGCGGTGGCGAAGCGCCCTGGCTCGACTAGAGGCCCACCAGAGAGCGTTCTACGGACCTCCTTTGGTCTGCACGAAATGTTCTCAGAACATTTCTTGTTGAGGCTGTCTGGTTTTGACACATCGGGCTTATGTTCTACGAACCTGGTTTTGTTCTTAGAGCACCTTGGGGTTCTGATAACATTTTGTGGCAAGCCTATGCCAGGACGGTCGGCCCCGGCTCAGCTCACCCGCCCGCCTCATCAGTTCTCCTGCTGGTCCGCCTCCTCCTCCTCCTCTCTCGGGTCGGACGGAGGAGAGGGGGTGGGAGATCGGGACAGGGGGCGCTCCACGAAATCTGTGCCGTGCCGCTGGCTCTGGCGGCGCCGCTGGGCGCTTTCCTCGATACGTTGGTGCCTCTGGCGCTGGGAGGCGCCTTGAAAATCAGCTGCGTGAACACAAGTAATCGTCGATCCCCCAGAAGATATGGGCAAATATGGGAAGTGGGGGGGGGGAGACGAAAATCCAGAAAATACTTGAAATGTTGGGGGATCCTGCTACGTGTGTCTCTTGATTTGTGTGTCCCAGGGCCCCTTCAACCTTCCCCTTACTAACCCCCCCTCTTCCATCCGACCCGACTCTTTCTTGGCGGCGCGCGCAAGGGCCCTGAAGGACCCTTCTGGGACCACCTTCTTCACCTCCCATGTGGGTCGCCCCCGATTGCCTCCCGCCCGAGCGCGAGAGTGATCGGGATCCTCTGGTTGCTCCTTCCCTGTCAGCCTGGGCGACGAAACACAACGGGTCCAACTGCGCCGACGCTGGCGCGCAAGCTGCCCGCGTCAGGTCGCGTGTAAGCGCCCTCGTCTTCGATGCAGCGTGCCGCGCTGGCGCCCCGCGCAAGACCCGTTTTTGATCGTCGCTCAGCTGGACGATAATCAGGAGGGGACAACAAACATACAGACACAATTAACCTTCGATCCCCAGGAAAATATAGGAAGTGGGGGGGAAGACGAGAACCCGAAACAGACTGGAAAGAATTGGACATCCAGGGTTCTGTGCCTACTATTTTGTGCGTCCCTGGGCACCTTTAGATGAGCCTTCACAGCGTTCCTCCCCGAGGCGGCGCCGTGTCGCCGTCGGCCGCTTCGGCGACCCCCACGGCAGTCACGCCTACGGGCGGCAAGGCCCTCCGCCGCCGTCGCCGCCGCCGTCGCCGCGCTCGCCTCGCTCGGGGCCCGCCCGATGGGGAAAAGGCTGATCGGAGGAGGGCGACTTGAGAGAACCGGTCGGGGTTCGAGGTTTTCTAGCGTTTTCGTTGATTTTCGGCGGTTTCCCAACCTCGGGATGCCTTCCGTCAGCTGCGCCTTGCCGTGGGCGTTCCCGGGGTGTCCCGGGGTGCCCAGATCGCCTCGAACCGAAAGACGACAACGGCAGCGGCGGCGACGACGAAGATCAGAGGAGAGTGAGTTGAGACAACGACACAGTGAAAACCCATGCCAAGAAACACCCTGCTTGCCTCCAGGGTGACCTGAGTGTCTTGGGCTCCGATGGTTTTGCGATGGAAAGCGTGACATTCCCACACCAAAAATTAATGGACTGCCCTGGGGTCTCAGGGTTGGGTTCCTTGTGGAAGCTTTCCTATGGTCGAGCGCCTACTGTAGGTGGCTTGGGGGGTACCCTCGTCGCCACGGCTGGACGCGGCTCGAACAATTGGTGCAGGTGGGCTCCAGGAGGGGTCGTGGGGCCAGGTGTCTCATGTCGCCCTGCTCCGAGCTGAGTTGAGGGGGAAGTCCTTCTCCTCTGCTTCCCCTCCTCCTCCTCCTCCTCCTCCTCCTCCTCCTTCAAGTTTGTTGTCTTCGGGCCCGTTATCCTCCCGCGCCTCGGCTGAAGAGATCGGGCTGCGGGTCCTTGATATGAGCAAACGCGTGCCCGACGAATTGGAGGACGAGTTTTGACTTGTTAAACGTTGCCTGTGCATGCGAAGTGGGTGGCCCCCATTCAGCTGGTGCTGCACTCCTTCAAACTTGTTGTGTCAGGTCTGTCCTCGCCTTTCCCAGACTGTCCCAAGAATCTCCGTTCCCAGGTTCTCCTATATGCATGGGAACCCAGTTCCTCAGGTATCGCGACCACGTCCAGAGTTATGGAAACCCAGCCCGCAGCTATGGAGACCCAGTTTCGGAATCATGGAAATCCCGACTGGCAGCAATGGAGACCCAGGTCCACAGTGATGGGAACCTGCGCTCCTTTTGTGGAAAACCTTGCGCGGCCAGCCCCCTGTCGCGCGGGAGAGCCGCAGCAGGTCGGCCGCCACGCCAGGGCCTCTGGCGTGCAGGAAACGAAGCCGGGGCGGCCGCGGCCCTCCGGGCAGGCTTGGCGCACGAGAAGAGCAGCGCGCCAGGGCGTGCCAGGACGCTCTCGGGTCCGCGCGGGCCTCCGAACGTTTGCAGCGGAGGCCCATGCCAAGAGACATCCTGCTTGCCTCCAGTGTGCCCTGGGCTTCTTGGGCGTCGATGTTTTTATGTTGCCAGGGAGAGCGCGACGTCCCCACACCAAGAATCCATGGACGTCCTGGGGCCTCAGGGCTGGTCTTGTGGTCGGGCCCCCACTGGTACCCCACCTCTGCCCGTTTCGATGCCTTTCTGGGTGCTCGAGATGATTTCTGGGATGTGGTCCTAGGGCGAGGAGGAGGAGCAGGAGGAGGAGGAGGATGAGGAGGGGGGGCGAAGTGGAGGAGGACGAGGAGGAGGAGGAGGAGGAGGAGGAGGAGGAGGAGGAGGGTTGGGCTTCTTGTGGAAGGTTTCTTGTGGACTGGCCTCGACTGTACGTCCCAAGATGTCGATGCTCGCGCAACGAACGGTCGAGGGCGAGCGGCCGAGGGCCGGCGGAGACGCCGAGGCTCCCAGCACGCACGCTGCGCCAGAGGCGCAGCACGTCGTCGTCGTCGTGGTCGTCGTCGTCGTCGTGGTCGTCGTCGTCGTCGTCGTCGTCGACCCAGGCGCTGGCGGGCAGCGCCTGCTCGGTCTGGGCAGCAGGGCTGGACCCGAACGGTGTTTTTGGCGATCTCGTGGGCCGTTGTCGTTTCGACCTCGTTTTGCGGTGAGGGCGGGCTCGAGGCAGAGAAGCGAGGGAGAACGACAACATAACGAAAACGAAAAGGACCGTTTAGGTTCAGCTCTGCTGGACAGGGTTCGGTGCCAAGCTCAAGGCGGCCGCGGTCCGTCTGCTTGGCGAACGGCGATGCTGCGCCGTCGATCGGGTCCCCCGCTTCGGGCGTGCAAAGAGAGATGAGTACTTGGAACGGCCTCCTCCCCCTCCCCCTCTCCCTCCCCCTCGTCCTCTCCACTCCTCCTCCTCCTCCTCCTCCCTCCTCCTCCTCCTCCTCCTCCTCCTCCTCCTCCCCTCCCCTCCCCCTCCCCCTCCCCCTCCCCCTCCCCCTCCCCCTCCTCCCCCCCCCTCCTCCACCAGCAGGCACTCGAACGGTGCCCTATCCCGTGTCGCCCCTACCTTCTTGGCTGCCCAGGATCCGACCGTGCCCGCGCCGTCAGTTATTGCCTTGGACAGCCGGCCAGGCTGTCCATAAACCGCTTTGACGAATGGCCATCGGCCCATTCCGCCACCGTGCCTGGGTTGTGGGTCATGGGCCTCTGAGCTGTTCGGTGGGATATCGCGGGCGGCTTCCCGGGGGCCTCGTGGAGACAGTTTGGGGGCCTCCTGGGGCCCTTTTTGGGGCCTCTTCGGACGTCTTGGTGGCCTCCCGGGGGCCACTTCGGGCCTCTTGGGGGCGTCCTGGGGCCTCCTGGGAGCACCTTGGGACGGAATGCTCGAATTGTCAGTTCGGGTTTCCTATTCTTCTGCTCCATTTGTGGCCCTCTTGGGCCGTCAGCGCGCGGCCGCCAGCGCGTGCCCTCCTGCGCCCCCACCACCCCCACCCCCACCCACGGCCGCCCTGCCCTCCGTGGCGTTCCTGCGCCCACCGTTGCCTCCCCCCCTCCAGTTCAGCATCCTCTCCTCCCACGTCAGCATCTGCTCCCTTGTCCTCCTCCTCCTCCTCCCCCTCCTCCTCCCCCTCCTCCTCCTCCTCCCTCCTCCTCCTCCTCCTCCTCCTCCTTCCCTCCTCCTCCTCCTCCTTCTCTCTCCTCCTCCTCCTCCTTCTCACACATCATCACCACCATCATCATCATCATCACCACCATCACCATTATCATCGTCACCATCGTCATCACCACCACCATCACACTATCATCATCACCACCACCACCATCATTATCATCATCATCATCATCATCATCATCATCACCATCATCATCATCATCACATCATCATCATCATCATCATCATCAGCATCAGCATCAGCAGCAGCAGCAGCATCAGCATCAGCATCAGCATCATCACCATCATGGTCACTCTCCGCTCCTCCTCCTCCTCCTCCTCCTCCTCCTCCTCCTCCTCCTCCTCCTGCCCCCCTGCTTGGATAGCAGGGGCCCCGTCATTGACTCGGGGGTAGCTGGGGCACCCCCTGCTAGTGGAACCAGCGGGGCGGTCGGCGCCGGCTCGAGGTCGGGATAGCAAAACCAGGAGTTGCACCTGGATGAATGCAGTGGGCGACCAACCCAAGGACCGGCGGAGGTGGGGCCCTTTTCGGGCTTTGGGGTGTGTCTCCCCCAGGGGTGGGGGGTTGGCTGCGGGGGGATCGTGCCCCTCCCCTTCTCTCTCCTGGCTCCTCCTCTCCTCCCCCCCTCTCCCTTTCCCCTTGGGGCTCGCAGTCCCCGTGCGGTCCACTCCCCCGCTGGGGTTGATGGCCAGCGGCCGCGCGGCCGGGGATTGTGGGCGGTTGGTGAGAATCACCAACGCAGCCGCCGCGGGGGGAGGCGCGTGGCGCCCGCGAGCTTCGTTGCTGCCGTCGAGGTGAAGGCGTGCCTCCGAACGGGGGCTGGAGTGCACCGAGCTTATTCACAGCGGCACACGGATGGCCTCCCTCGGTGATGGCATATTGTTCGGCGCCGAGGGCGAGGGCAGTGGTCCGCATACAAAGAGTCCAAAGAGTCCTCCTCCTCCTCCCCCTCCTCCTCCTCCTGCTCCTCCTCCTCCTCCTCCTGCTCCTCCTGCTCCTCCTCCTGCTCCTCCTGCTCCTCCTCCTCCTCCTCCTCCTCCTCCTCCTCCCCTCCTCCTCCTCCTTCCTCCTCCTCCTCCTCCTCCTCCTCCTCCTCCTCCCCCTGCCCTCCCCCTGCCCTCCTCCTGCCCTCCCCCTGCCCCCCCCATGCCCTCCCCGCGCCCCCCGTCCCCGCCGCCGCTCCCCGCGCCCCCTCCCTGCCCCGCCGCACTCCCCCAGGGCCGGCGTTCCGCCCTGAGTCGTCTTCCGATGCCCCCGAGGCCCCGGCGAGGGCCCCCGGGCGCCGAGAACGGGGCGACGCCCGCGGCTCCATGTTTGGTCGGAGTGCGGATCTCTGGGGAAGGGAGGCGGGGGCCCCCCGGCCTCGAGCCCGCAGGGCGGCCGCGGGGAGGGGAGCGCTGGGGGGAGGGTCCAGAGGTGGAGGAGGAGGAGGAGGAGGAGGAGGAGGAGGCGGAGGAGGAGGAGGAGGAGGAACATCGGGGCCCACGCACCCACGCATCGAGAACATGGGAGCGGCCTGCTGTCTGGGCCTCTCCTCCGCAGGCCCGCGGGGCGGCTGCCGGCCGCGCTCGGCGATGGCCGCCGCGGGGGGCGGCCACGGATGGTTTCGACAACCAGCGTGGTCCGTGCGGCTTCCCGACGCTCGCGGGAGGCCTCGCTTGCGTCCAGGACGCGGCTGGCTGCCTCCACACCGTCCTGCTCAGGTCAAGCAGTGGCGAATCGTCCTGGTTCGCCGATAGCCCTACCAAGCAATGTTCCGAGAACCTTCTGCGGTTTCCACGACATGTTCTTAGCACATTTCTGGCTGTCTTGTTTTAACACGTCGGGTTGATGTTCTAGGAAGATGGCTTTTGCTATTAGAACATGTTTGGGTTCTACGAACATTTCGCGGTAGGACTGTAGGAATGCCGGGACGGTCGGTCCCTGCTCAATCAGGAGCGACGGGTCGGCCGTGGCCTGTCGCCGCAACGACGCAGGTCAGTGCGACCTTGCGGCGCTCGCGTGAGATCTCGCCTACACCCAGGTCGCAGCTGGAAGTTTCCACACCGGCCTGCTCAGTAGCGACGGGTCGGCCGTGGCCTGCGGCCCCAACGGCGCAGGTCAGCGCGACCCTGCGGCGTCAGCTCGGGGCTTGAGGTACGTAGCCTTTTTGTTGCCAACGCTATTCCTGCAGGCGTCGTTCGATGGCGCCGCGGCGCGAGTCTTCGGCGCTCTCTGATATGGATGTATTATCTAGCGCCAGGCCTGGTTCAGGTGGCACCGCCGCACTTGCCATGCTTCAAACCTGACCCCAAAGGCTGCGGAGAAACGAGGGTGCAAGCTACAGGCGGCCCGGATTAGTAGGCCGGCCTTGCCAGATCAAGGGTACCCTCGGGTCCTGCGTCTTGCGGCCCATGCCTCCTGCATTCCTGTGGCAACGTGACCCTCGGAAGGGTCTTGTGTCCTCTCGCGTGTCCTCTCCGATCAGGTCCGACTGTACTCCCTGCCTGCTGCTGTCCCCCCTCGGCGCTGTTCCTGCAGGCGTCGCTCGATGGCGCCGCGGTGCGAGGCTTCGCCCGCGGCGGCGAGGCGCGGTGCCGAGTCGCGGCGGCGCACGGCGCCCTGCTCGGCGAGCGTGCGCGGCCCCGCCGGTGGCGGGCCGTCCGGGGGGCAAGCTGGGCACCTGTCAGGAAGGGGAAAAGCACACAGACACAATGAATCGTCGATTCTCGAGGGAGACAAAAACCCGGAGAATATGGGAAAGTATGGGACATCCTGCTATTTGTGTCTATTTATTTGTGTGTCCTTGGGCCCCTTCATGCTGGACTCGCGCGGGTCGACGCGGCCCGGCCCTGCCTGAGGGGGGCGGCTCCCGAGCGAGGCCCCGGCCGGGGAGACCGTCGCGCCCAGAACCCCCTCGGGTCGTGAACAGCATCACGACGGAAGGTTTTCGTGCTCAGGGGCCCTCACCGGCACGCGGGACCGTCAAAAAACGGCTCGGGATGAGAAGCCGACGGTCCCGGGGAGGGGGTCGAGAACTCTGGGGGTCGGCGCAATGAATGATGGGCAAGTTATCCACCACCCTTACCATATGTAGGACGGGGGAGGAAGGGAGGATGAGGATGTTCTCCTCCTCCTCCTCCTCCTCCTCCTCCTCCTCCTCCTCCTCCTCCTCCTCCCTCTCCTACCTATGGTAGTGGTGCTGGAAGATGGACCCATCAATGAACAAAGCATGACGTCGGGGGTCTGCGAGGGCGCCTTTGGGCACTGAGCGCCCGCCGGCAGGCGCCGAGCGGCGCCCCTCGCCCGCGCAGCTGGGCCAATCGCGTCGAGAGGAGCGGTCGGAGGTCCGCGCGGATCTCCTGGGGTCTGCGCTGGAGCACCCCTGGCTGGGCCTCCGGCGGACAGCTGCGAGGGAAGCCATCCTTGGTAGTCCCCAAACGTGGTGGTGACAACATCTGGCGGTGAGTCTCGGGCGATTTGGTGTCACCACCCGGTTTGGGGACTCGTGCGGTTTTCCGAGGATGTCCCGAACACTGGTGGGTCCAGGAGTCACAAAACCCGGTGGTGACCCCGTGTCCCCAAACCCAGCGGTGACCTTTTTTGGGATTCCAGGTCGCCACCTGGTATCTCACCACCCGGTTTGGGGGTTCCCAACATCTTCTCGTCCCAGATGCTTGCGTTGCTACTCTGGCGCTTGCCCCGAGGTTCACCCCACGCCCTCGGCGCCGAAGCCTATGCAGGCGAATCGCCTGCAGCGGGGTGCTTTCCATTCCGAAACCGTGCAGGACGACCCTTCAGAGCCCATTTCGATCCGAGCGGTCCGACTCGATCCCTGTGTTGGCCAGCTCGATCCGATTCGATTCCGACATGTCGATGCGGCCCAATGTTTGCATGGCGTTGTTGCGTTTCTTGGCGCAGCCGATCTGATTCGGAATCGAGTCCGTGCCGATGCAGCCCGACCCGACGCGCTCCGATTCGATCTGACCTCCCACTGCGATGGCCGATCCTGCCCTTGTCCTGTCTTCAGGACCCATCGACGTGCAGTCAAGACCCGCTGAAAGCAGGAGCAGCTCGGACTCCGAGGGGACGCGCTGCTCCGTGGCCGTGCCTCCAGCGCTCCCCGTGCCCCCGGGAGCTCCCAGGGCCAAGCAGGGGCGTCGCTCCTGGTCTGGCGCTCCCTGTGGCCGCAGCTGGGCTGCACAACGCTGTCCTCCATGGCCGCGCGCCCGCCGGACAAGAGAGCGAGAGAGAGAGAGCCAGTGCAGTGCAGGCCAGCGTGCCTCGGGGCAGAGCGGCGACGCATCTCGCAACGAGGGAGGCGCGGGCGGTTGCGCCGCACGGGCCCTGCTCTTGTCGGTGGCCGCCCGCGCTCCTCGGCGTCGAGCGGCCGTGGTCATAATGATGCTGCTGCTGATAATGATGCTGATGATGCTGATGCTGATGCTGATGATGCTGATGATGATGGTGATGATGATGACGATCACGATGACGATGACGACGACGACGACGACGATGATGATGCTGATGGTGGTGATGATGATGGTGATGCTGTTGATGATGATGGTGATGATGATGATGATGATGCTGATTGTGATGATGATGGTGATGGTGATGGTGGTGGTGGTGATAATGTTGATGATGATGATGATGATGATGCCGATGGTGGTGGTGGTGATAATGATGATGATGGTGATGCTGATGATGATGACGATGATGATGTTGATGGTGGTGATGATGATGATGAAGATGGTGATGCTGATGATGATGATGGTGGTGGTGGTGGGGGTGATACTGATGATGATGATGATAATGACGATGATGATGATGATGGTGATGGTGATGGTGATGGTGGTGGTGGTGATAATGATGATGATTATGGTGCCGATGATGATGGCGATGATGACGATGATGCTGATGATGATGATGATGCGGATGGTGGTGATGACGATGATGATAATGAAGCTGCTTGCGGTGGTGGTGATGCTGATGATGCTGATGGTGATGATGATGCTGATGACGATGATGGTGTTGATGGTGATGACGATGACGATGACAATGACGACGACGATGATGATGATGATGATGATGATGATGATGATGATGATGATGATGATGATGGTGATGCTGTTGTTGCTGATGATGATGGTGATGGTGATGGTGGTGGTGACGATGATGACGATGATGACGACGATGCTGACGCTGATGAAGACGATAATGCGGGTGATGATAATGGAGATGAAATTGAAGACGATGATAATGAGGTTGATGATGCTGATGGTGATGAAGATGATGATGGTGGTGGTGAGTATGATGATCATGATCATGATCATGATGATGATGATGGTCGTGGTGCTGATGATGATGCTGATGATGATGATGATGATGCTTAAGCTTATAGTGATGATGATGGTGATGATGGTAATGATGATGATGATGATGATGATGATGATGATGATGATGATGATGGTGATGGTGATGACGAGGATGATGAAGATGATGATGACGATGATGATAATAATGTTGATGATGACGATGATGATGATGATGATGATGATGATGATGATGATGATGATGATGATGATGATGATGATGATGATGATGACGATGATGACGATGATGATGATGATAACAAGGACGAGGAGGAGGAGGAGGAGCAGGAGGAGGAGGAGAAGGAGGAGGAGAGGAGGGAGGAGGAGGAGGAGAGGAGGAGGAGGAGAAGCAGAAGGGGGAGGAGCAGGGGGGAGAGGGGAGGGGGATGAGGGGAGGGGGAATGAGGGAGGGGGAGGAGGAGGTTGATAAGGAGGCGGAGGCAGAGGCGTGTGGAGAATTGGAGGAGGAGGAGGAGGAGCCAGAGGTAGGAGGAGGGCGGAGGAGTCAGGAGGACAAGGCTGGAGGATTCTAGGAGGAAGAGGTGGAGGAGGAGGAAGAGGAGGAGGCGGCGCTGGAGGAGCAGGAGCAGGAGCAGGCTACCGCACGCAGTTCGAGAAATTATGTGGCCTCGGAAAGCAATTCAGCTCGGCCGAGCTGCTTCGGTTACAACCCGAAGTCGATAGGAAGCAAGCAGGAGGAGGAGGAGGAGGAGGAGGAGGAGGAGGGGAGGAGGAGGGGACGAAGGAGGAAGAGGATGAGGAGGAGGAGGAGGGAGGAGAGGAGGGGGAGGAGGGGGAGGAGGAGGAGAGAGGAGGAGGAGGAGGAGGAGGAGGAGGAGAGGATGGAGGAGAGGAGGAGGAGGAGAGGAGGAGGAGGAAGAGAGGGGGAGGAGAGGAGGAGGAGGAGGAGGAGGAGGAGGAGGAGGAGGAGGAGGAGGAGGAGCAGAGAGAGAGCAGGAGAGGAGGAGGAAGGAGGAGAAGGAGGAGGAAGAGAGAGGAGGAGGAGGAGGAGGAGCAGCAGGAGGAGGAGGAGGAGGAAGCAGGAGGAGGAGGAGGAGAGGAGGAGAGGAGCAGGGAGCAGGAGGAGGAGGAGGAGGAGGAGGAGGAGGAGGAGAAGGACGGACCCTGCTGCGCCGGGAGGCCTGTACACCGGGGGGCAGCACGAGGAGCCACAGCCCGGTCCATGTGGAGGCCTCCGGCCCCATCGACGCCGTCCTCCTGTTGCTTCCTGCGACCCAGCACCCGTCGAGGAGGAGGAGGAGGAGGAGGAGGAGGAGGAGGAGGAGGAGGAGGAGGAGGTGCAGGGAGGAGCAGGGGGGAGCAGGGAGGAGCAGGGAGGAGGAGTAGGAGGACGAGCAGGGAGGTGGCGGAGGAGGACGGACCCTGCTGCGCCGGGAGGCCTGCACCCCCGGGGGCAGCACGAGGAGCCACAGCCCGGTCTGCCTTTGGCGAGCCCGCGCCCGTCCATCTTTTGGGGACGGGTGTCCACTGGGGTCGGGCGTGTGAGAATGGCCGTCAACGGTCAAGGCAACACACCGCGGAGCCTTCGCGCTCAGCCTGTCCGCCGCCCTCCCCAGCAGTGGGAGGCCAGGCTATCTATGGGCGCCCAGGCGGCCCAGAGCCGCGAAGCAGGGGGGCGGCGGCCTCCGCGAAAGCTCAACGCCATCGTCGTCGTCGTCGTCGTCGCCGTCGCCGTCGCCGTCGCCGTCGCCGTCGCCGTCGTCGTCTCCCTTCAGGGTCGGCGGCACCGGCCGTAAGGCCCTCGCAGACCTCCTCCATCCCCTCCCAGACATGTCCGCGTCGCGAACAACAATCAGGACAGGAGGCTTTTGGCCGTGTTCGGCCACAGGGGGCCCTTGCCAGGCTCCGGGACTGTCAACAAGCTGCTCGGGACGTCCAGGGACCTCGGAAGGAACCGATCCGGACATTGCATGTCAGGATTTTCTGTAGAAAACTTCCTGGCGCACTCCCAGGCGTGTCGGTGGGTGGGCCAGGCGTTCCGCCTGAGACGTCCTCGCCATGTTTGATTCTGAAGCCTGACATGTGCAACAGTTTCACGGATGGAGCTGGGGGTCAAGATGTGGTTCTCGCCTTGGAGCCGCGCACATCCCGCCTGCATACTGTGCAGCATGTTCACAGATGGAAGGGGGGGTCGTGTTCAAGATGGCGCACTCACCTTAAAGCCGCGCGCACTCATCACATGATTCTTGAGCAGCTTCACGGGTGGAGAGCAGGTCCTTTTCACAGTGGGGGGGTCCGTCGATGCCGCGCGCATTTGTTGAGCAACGCCATGTTTCCCAGAAGGAGTGGCTGCTCTTGTTCAGGGCTGGACCTAGACGGTGTTTTGGCGATTTCGTGGGTCGTTTTCGTTTCGACTTCGTTTTGCGGTAGAGGCGGACTGAAGACAAAACAAGGGAAAACGAAAACAAAACGAAAACGAACAACACCGTTTAGGTTCAGCCCTGCTCTTGTTCAAAATGGAAGTTCGAGTGTGGCTTCGCAAATTGCGAGGGCCCGGATCTCCCCTGCCACCCTTCGTCAAGAAGGAGTTATCGTTCGGGCAATAACATGTGAGCAACAGTCGCGAAGGTGGGGGGCGGTCCTCTTTTGAGAGGGGGATGCCGCTGGTTACCTCGTCGAACTGCATGACGACCCTTCGCGTTCCTGACTATGCGTTGGGAAGTCGCAAGGCGGATCCTTTTAAGAGTGGAGCCCTCACCAAAATTGCAGGCTCAGCTGTGCCCGTCTTTCAAGAGGCGCGCGTGTTGTAGTGAAATGCGGGACTTGCAGGGGCGTGTGAATGAGGTTGGGACTTGGGATTGGAGACCGTATTGCAGTATCGTTTAAGTACGTATGCATGTTTGGAGCACTCTGGTCCTTCATCCTCCTCATACTCCTCCATCCACCTCCTCTTCCTCCCCTCTCTCCCTTGCTCCCTCGCTCTTCCTCGTTCCCCCTTCTCCCTCCCATATCCCCCTCATCCTTGTCCCTCCCATTCTCTTTCCTCCCCTTCTTCCTCTTCCCTCCTCCTTCTCCCTCCTCCATCCTCCTACATCCTCATCCGTCCTCCCCCCGTCCTGTTTCTCTCGGCAGGGGGTGGGGAACCCTGATCAAGCGTGGCTCGAAAACATTACGGAAGGTCCTAGGTTCTTGCACAGGTATAGGTCCAGCTTCTGGGGCCCTCGCTGGGCCCTACGGCCGTCAATAAACGATCCAGGTTGAAAAGCCGGTCCCCAGGAAGGGATCCTGACCTTGGGGGAGCCACGGTGTGAAACATCACACCGTCGGGTGTCTGGGTGTCGGGGGGGGACAGGGCTCATTTCGACCCCTCAGATTCGATTCTATGTCGATGGCTTCCGATTCCGATTCGACTCGACTTTGAATTCCGATGTGGAGTCCCATTTCTCAATGAGGCCTTACTAATCTGCCGATGTCCGCCGATGCGATTCATTTCGATCGCCAACCCGACTTGTCGATTCGATTCTGGGTTCTAAGGCTCTCCTTGCGGGGGAATTCTGTCGATCTTCGCCGATCCGACTCATCTCGATCGCCGACCCGCCTTGTCGATGCGATTCCTGGGCTTCCCTCCTTGGGGGGGAGGCAGCATCCCGACTACAGCGGAGGCCCATGCCAAGAAACACTCTGCTTGCCTCCAGGGTGCCCTGGGTTCCTTGGGTTTCGATGGTTTTGCGATGGAGAGCGTGACGTTCCCACACCAAGGACCTCAATGGGCGTCCTGGGGCCTCCGGGTTGGGCTTCTTGCGGAAGGTCTCTCGTGGACTGGCCTCCGTTGTGCCGCGAGGAGGCCAGTCTGAGTCTGGTGCACGCGCCGTCCTGGCCTTCACACTGCCTTTGGTGCCGGTGCCTGGCGTCTGACCGGCGCCCTCCTGCAGCGCCGCGCCCGTCGGCCGAGCGTCTGGCGGAGAGCCCCCTCCACCTCCCATCCTTCTCGCCCAAGCCTCCTCCTCCTCCTTCTCCTCCTCCTCCTCCTCCTCCTCCTCCTCCTACTGTTCCTCCTGCTGCTCCTCCTACTACTCCTCCTCTTTCTCCTCCTCCTCCTCCTCCTCGCTTCTCGCCCTTGCCTCGCTCCTCGCCCTCCTCGGGCCTCCTCGGGGGTCGCCGCGGCCAGCTCCGCCCCGCGCCCCCCACGAGAGGCCCACGGAGCCTGCGCCGTCGGCCCCCGCCAGGCAGGCTTGTCAGGAGGAGGGCACGCCGATCGATCCAGAGAAGTCCCCAAGCCCAGAGCCCCAAGCCCTGCGAAGGAAATCACGACCACGACGCGAGGTTTTCCGCTGCTTTCGGCCTCGGGGGGCCCTCACGGGCCTCGGGACCGTCCAAGGACGAGGACACACATCTCGAGGACACACATGTCGATCCAGAGAAGTCCCCAAGCCCAGAGCCCCTCGCCTTGTGAAGGAAATCACGACGTGAGGTTTTTCGCTGTTTTCGGCCTCCGAGGGGCCCCCACTGGGCCTCGGGACCGTCAAAGGACCGGCTCCGGATGAACAGCCGGTCCTCGGGGGAGGGGTCCCGGCCTCCTTGGGGCCTCGACGTTGCGAAAAAATCACAACGCCGGGGGTCTGGGAGGGCACCCTCGGGCGCGAAGTGATTCGCGCTTCACGGTTCGGCTCCGATGCCTCCCAATCCTCTTCCTCCCTTGGGGGGGGGCGGCGCGAGAGTGCGAAGTTATTCGCCCGTCGCGCAGTGCGGAGCGCGAAGTTGGGCGCCCTCAGTTCCAGGACGCTCTCAGATCCGCCGGCTCTCAGAGATTCTCGGGTTGACCCAAAACGGGGTCCAGCGACAAGGGGGTGGTGCAATAGATTTGGTGCAATAGGTTTGTGGGGTTGCAGTATATTTTGGGCGTACAATACATTCTGGGGCGCAAGTGCATTGCTGGATTTTCGCGTGCTATACATTAATTGCAATACAATGCAGTACATTTCTCAGGCGCAACACGTTTGCAATCCAATCGCCCTAGTTCTATTGCACCACCCCCTTTCAGCGGGACCCCTTTTCGGGTCACCCAGAGATTTCCTGCGTGCTTTCTTTACTCTTGTGGCGCGACCGCTCAGGACGCCTTGTTTCACCTCGGGGGCGCGGAGGTGGCGGGTTGCGGTTGCCAGTTTTAGATGCTCGGCTTCCCGCGAGGATCCCCCTCTATCCTCCTCAAACTGATATTAAGTCGGGCTTGTCCCTCTACAGGAGGAATATTCAAAAGCAGTAGCAAAAATAGTCAGGGGGCCATTTTCTTACTATTTTCGATCATGTTTGTAGTATTTTAGGGTATGTTCAATTTGTCGCCCAAAATCCCCCTGTAGGGGGACAGGCCCGACTTAAAACTGAGTCGGTCCTCCCAGGGTCCCTCCTGCCCAGCTTCTCGGGCCGCGGCAGACAGCCTCCAGCATCCCCCAGGAAAGCCTCTCAGAGGCAGCGACGACAACAGCGCAGTACGGTCGGACGGAGTCACAAGATCGAGGTCGGTTCGGGGTGGATGCCCTCATGTGATTCGTGTTTGTTGGATGCTGTGCACCCTAGAGGAGGGTACCCTCGAATGTTCTTCGGTTTGGCCGAGGGAGGGTCTCATGTTCTGGAGGCATGTTCTTCTGTCCTAGGCTTAGGTGCGGCCGTAACCTGTAGACGTCCGCTCGGGCCCGCCCAGAGACGAGGAATCCCGAGGCGCCGACGGACGGGATCGCAGTCAGGCGCGCCGGAACGCTCTCAGAGCGTCCTGGAACGCTCGCCACGGGGGAAGGGGGTCCTGATGGAAAGGGGTCCCGAGAATTCTCGCCGCTGTGGGGCTCTTGACCCTCCACGGGCCCCGGGAGCGTCAGAAAACGACTCGTGATCAAAAACTCGTCTCTGGGGGAGGGCTCCAGGCTCCAGGGGCCCGTTTCCCACAGGACCCGTTTCCCCCCGGCCAGACTTCTGAGAGCTGGCGGGTCGAGGCCGCGACATACCCGTTCTCCGAGGTTCTCCTCCTCCTCCGCCTCCTCCTCCTCTTCCTCTTCCTCCTCCTCCTCCTCCTCCTCCTCCTCCTCCTCCTCCTCCTCCTCGTTCCCCTCCTCCTCGTCCCCCTCCTCCTCCTCCTCCTCCTCCTCCTCCTCCTCCTCCTCCTCCTCCTCCTCCTCCTCCTGTATATCGGCGGCGAGCGAGGAGGAGGGGGAAGTGCGAAGGACAAGGCATCGAGGACTCCTCAGAAGGCCGGGGGACTTCCGAGCCTTCTGAGAAGGCCCGCCCCTCCCCGCGCTCCCCCCGCGCTCGCCGCCGAGTATCAGGCGATCGCAAGCATGGATTCATGGGGCGTGGATTCGCGATGGGTCCCGCTTCCACGGGGAAATCGCGGCTTGCCGCCGCCGAGCGAGGCGGCACCGGCCGCATTTTGGGGGGGGCACCTCCCCCGATCCATGGATTGGGCGACCGCGCCAGATCCATGGATCGCAAAATTCCATGCTTGCGCGCCCCCGCGAGTATAGATCAAGAGGGAACAAAATACACACAGACGCAATTAATCGTCGATTCCCAAGAAAATATCGGAAAATATGGGCAGTGGGGGGGAAGACAGAAACCCAGAAAATATAGGAAAATATGAGGAATCCTTTTATTTGTGTGTATTTATTTGTGTGTCCCAGGGCCCCTTCAATAGAGCTCGTCTGTCTATGCGCCTGGGCAGCAGCCGGGGCAGGTCAGCCGGGACCTCTCCGAGGCCACGCCGCAGGACCGGCACTCTCTGCGGCCGCCGGTCCGGCCCGCTCGCTGCGCTCTCGAGCGTCACAGGGGGGCCCCTGCCCTGAAGGCCTCCTGAAGGGGCGAGGCAGAGGAGGATCAGTATTATGTCGGGCCTGTCCCTCCACAGGAGGAATATTCAAGAATAGTCAAAATAGTCTGGGTATTCTTTGTTTGACTATTGTTCAGCAATTGGGGGGGTATTCTTGGGGTATTTTCAATTTTTCTCCCAACTTAAGATCAGTATCGTTTAACCGATCCCTGTCCCCTATTCCCATCCACATCTCGAGCCCCACCGTCTCACCATCTCAGCCGGGGATATGCCCCTCGAATCCCGAAGAGAGCAGCCATGGGGTAGATCGGCCAGTGGGGCCCAGCCCACGCTGGTGGGGATTGGGATCGATGAAACGATGCTCAGAGGAGGAAGGGACAAGGACGAGAAAGGATAACGGAGAAGCCAGGCGCACCAGCGTGCGGGTTCGGTGAACTAAATTACCCCAGTGCGACCCTACCTAGAAGTTGGAGCCCCTAGGAAAGCAGCATTAGTTGCTAAGCTATGCTGCTATGCTATGCTATGCTATGGCATGCTAAGCTGCGCTGTGCTGTGCTATGCTATGCTGCGCAATGCTACGGTATGCTATGTTGTAAGCTATGCTATGCTATGCTATGCTGCGTTGTGCTATGTTATGCTATGTTATGATATGATATGCTATGCTATGCTAAGCTGTGTTATGATATGCTATGCTATGCTGCGCTATGCTATGCAGTGCTATGATATGATTGGCTATGTCATGCTATGCTATGGTATGCTAATGCAGCGCTGCGCTATGCTAAGCTAAGCCAAGCTAAGCGAACCCTCTAGGCATGCCTAGGTAGGGAATTACACCCATGCGAATTACCCGAACAGAAAACTAATGCGGAGGGCACTGCTTGCGGGGGCTCCAGTCCGGCCATCGAGGCTAGCTCGGCATCTGTCGCACATTGTTTTTGCCTTGCCTTTCCTTTGCGTTGCTTTTGTTTTTGCTTTGTTTTGCTTTGCTTTGCGTTGCTTGTGCTTTGCTTTGCTGTCGCTGCTGTTGCTTTGTTTTTGCTTTGCTGCTATGCTCTGCTGCGCTGCGCTGCGCTATGCTATGCTATGCTATGTTATGCTGCGCTATGCTATGCTATGCTGGGCTATGTTATGCAATGCTATGCTGCGCTATGCTGTGCTACGTTATGCTATGTTGTGCTCTGCTATGCGAAAGCTCAGCGAAGCTAAGATGAAAGTAAGCTAAGCTAAGATAAATATGAGCTAAGATGAAGCTAAGCTAAGCTAAGATGAAATCAGCTAAGTTACGATGAGATAAGCAACGCTAAGCTAAGGGGACGTAACTGGGGGAACCGCGGGGCGGATACTGGGGGAACCGCCCGGGGTGTTTTCCACTGCCCGACCCCTTTAAGCCCAGAGAGTAAGAACCCTTCTAGGCAGAGCCTAGGTAGGGAAAAAGAGTTCCACCTCAAGAGTAGGGAGCGCTCGCGTCAGTGACGGGCGCAGCAGCGGCCACAAGTTCCTCCACGGCCATGCCGTGGGCAGGCGCTCTTCTATCTGGAGTGAGACCATCACGACCAGCGTGCGCACCCGCCCCTTGCGTGTGATTCCCGAGCACTGTGCGGCGAGATGGCGCGGGTCCTAAGTCGCCGTCTTGCCGCGGACACGGCAGAAATACAGGCAGTGCTTCTGCAGAACGTGAGTCTAGTGCGATTCATGCAGCTCGCGTCCGCCCAGCACGACAGTACCCTGTAGCGGTACCACATGCTCGCTGGTTGCGGGCTCGGGAGGTTTCCAGTGGCGGGGCGTGCCGCACGCTTGTCGCACCGCACGCTCGTCGGAGGTGAGCCCGTATCGCGACCGCCTGTACCTGCTCGCGCGGAGCTCGAAAGCGCGTGCACCGGACCCGACAACGAGCTGCCGCTCGGAGCGGCGCGGGCCGCGGGCCTGCGACTGCCTCTCTGCCGCCCGCGCTCCCGCAGCGGGCGAGCCCGCGAGAGCTCGTCGCGCCCCGCGGCGGACGAGGGCGCACCGCGCATCGTGCAGGCCCGCATGGGGGCGCCTCGCCAATCCGCGCCGCGTCCCGGGCCCTCCTGGCGGCCTCGCCTGCCCAAGCCTCAGTGCAAGCGTTGCCTCGCGCGCGGAGGTGGCGGACAGGATCGGATGCGGTGCCAGGGGTGTCTTCGTCAGGGGTGGACCTAGACGGTGTTTGGGCGATTTCGTGGGCCGTTTTCGTTTCGGTCTTGTTTTGCGTCAAAGGCGGAATGAAGACAGAACGATGGGAAACGAAAACAAACCGAAAACGAAAAACACCGTTTAGGTTCAGCCTTGGTCCTCGTTGTGTGAGGGCACCCAGATCACCTCGAGCGTGCTGCTGTCACGAGAGCGCATCGCCTTGTGCAATTCGCTGCCGCAGGTCTTGGTTCGCGCCCGCGCTGGGGCGCAGGTGTCGGCTCAACCTCCAACCGTCCTACAGCGGCAAGTGATCTGTGATGAAGCACAGGTCGCCAGGCCATTTCTCGAGAGCCAGTGCGAAGGCGAGCAGCTCAGCACGAGGCACAGTTTGAAAAGGGCCTCCGAGGCCAGGCCCTCTAGGATGCCTCCCCGTGGGGCCCACTCCTCGAAGAGGCACTCCATTGCGACGCAGGCTGCCCCCACTCTGCGGCGACGGGGGTCGGCGCTGAACTGCCCACCAGAGCCGTCGCCAAACAGAGTGAGCGTCCCACTGCTAGCGGCAGAGTTAACCCTCCCAGCCGCGCCCAGCCCAGCTCCACCCGCCGTTCCCCCCCATATCAGGAAAGGCGGGGTGCGTGTCCGCACGCGCAGGCAGGCCACGGGGCTGGTATGCAGGCGAGGCTTCCGCTCCAGCAAGGAAGGACGACAGGAGGGCGTCAGTCTTCGTGTAGTCCGCGCGGTCGCGGCTGCGGGAGCACAGCCAGATGCTGTGCATGAGGGCCTCGCCCGCTTCACCACAGCAGGGGCAGCCCGTCTGCTCCTGGGTAGCCCGCCTGGACCAGGCGTGCCCGCGGCCACTGAGCCCCTGAGATACTACGCAGAGGTCGAGGGCCCAGTGGTCCAGCTGGCCCTTCCCCGTGAACTTCTCCATCTCGTGGCTGACGACGTGCGCGTCTGGGCCTCCGCGCTGGAGCCCTTCTCCGTGCGGGTGCTCGGCCGCAGCCTCTCACAGCCCCGTATCGATTGACTGGCAGAACTCGTGGGCGAACTCCGACGGGGCGACCTCGTGACGTCGACCTGGCCTTTTGCGCGGCAGGGGCCACGTCCGGTCGGCAGGTGCACCGTCTCGAGGTGCACGTGCCCACTCGTAGGGGAGCGGGCAGCTCCAGCTTGCGTCCACGAGGATGGGCCTCGATCGCGGAGACGGGGCCCAGGGCCTGTGGTTGATGGACCACTTCCTCGTCCCGAGTCCCGAGGCCGATGGGCTTCTAGTAGAGGAGGGAAGCGAGGAGGAGGAGGAGGAGGAGGAGGAGGAGGAGGAGGAGGAGGAGGAGGAGGAGGGGGAGGAGGAGGAGGAGGAGGAGGAGGAGGAGGAGGAGGGGGAGGAGTACGAGGAGGAGAAGGGGCAAAGTCCTTGGCCTTGGCGGGCACCAGGCCTGAAACGGGTCTGGTGCCTGGGCCGCGAAAGAGGAGGAGGACGAGGAGGAGGGGACGGGAGGAGGGGACAAGAGGAGGGAAAGAGAGGGTATGGGATGGGATCGGAATGGTTGCGGCCCAGCGCCGACCGTCAGGAGTGCACTGGCAGCCGCCACGAGACCAGGGTTCCGTGCTTTGACGCGCTCGGGGTAGCAAACGCTCCAGGGTTGCCGAGATAAGCTGAACTATAAGGATGAGTAGCTTTCCAGGGGCGTCATTTCATCCTTGTATGTTCGGTCATCCCTAGCCAGTATGCCACGATCGCCAGCCTCTATAACCTGTCGGAGAGCATGGAAGCGCTGGCGCTCGCGTCAGCACTCTCGGGCATGATAGACGCCTGTAGCCTTCGCGCACATATCGCATGGGTGAAGGTGGCAGCTGGCACCCATGAGTTGCCACGACGCAGCCTCGCAGCGCAAGCGTGCGCTGGTTCTTCTGCCAACCTAGTGCAGAGGCCCCTTCTACCCCCTTTCTGCCGTCGGGCGTTGCTCTTCCCACGCAGGGACGGGCGAGACTTCTTTGGTTTGCTCTCGGTTTTCTTGCTGCCCACTATTCCCCAAACAGCGCTCGCACCAGAGTGGCTTTGCGCCATATAAAACTGACCCTGTGCGCGCGGTGGGCTGCTTGGATAACGACTGCCCTAGTTCGGCCCAGTCCGGCCGTTGCTGGGCTGTGCGGCGGGTTGCGCGGTCACGGCAACCAGCATTGCTCGCCGTTGCCAGGCTGCGCGGTCGTGTCTATGCGGTGGGTTGCGTCAGGGGCCGCGCCGTCGGTTGTGCGGTCAGGTCGCGGCTCTGCCTGACTTCACCTGTGGTGAGGGAAAAGCGCAGTTCGGCATGGCCCTGTCCATGGAGCGTGGCCCGCGCTCCCCGCAATCGTTCTCCGTCCACGGCGCCTTTCGTCATCGACTCACGCAGGCTGTGTGGTCGGTGCCTTTTTTTCGGGGAGGTGGGTGCCCGCGACAGCCCCGTCTACGTGGGGGGCATCCTCTCTCACGTCGCAGTGCCAAAGTGTGTGCTCCACGGCTGCAGCTCTTCTTGGGCCCGTCCGTGAAGTCGCGGGTGGTGAGGATGCATGCCTTGGGTGTGATGCCGAAGCCCAGCCGGGCTTGCCAAGCGCAGTGAAGGAGCTGTCTGCGTCACGTTCTGCTTCGTGAGCGCGAAGTACACTCACTGCACGTAGGGGTAACACCCCTGGAGGTCAGATTTCTGAAACCGGCAGGGGTTCATAATCGAGTGTGATGTCTGCAGCGAGGTGAACCCCAACGGGGGTGCTTGGTACCCCCGCGTCGATCGGGCCCGCTGGGGTAGGGTTCGCAAGTGATCGCAGAATGGTGTCACGACCAAGGTGTTCCAGCTGGCGCTTAATATTTGTTGTCGGTCTCTTCTGAAGAAGTATCCCTTCCAGCACGGGCCAGGC